TGAGACTGTGGACCTGATTTTGCCAGCGACAGAGGGCCAAGGGATAATTTTCTTGCAAACTCCTCAGCATCTCAGACTGTAGCCCATGAAAAAAAAGACTTCGTGCTCAGGGCTCAGCCTCTGTTCTCCCTTACACCTACCCACCCAGGGAGTTGTTTCACCACAAAAATCCTGTTTTTCTCTATGACAACACTCCCTGATGAAGACTTGTACAACTTTTATGTTCTGTTTTACAGTTTGTCTGCTTTAAAGTATCTCTGAGAGCACTTAGGCCTTCTCACTCACTCTCTCTCTCTCTCTCTCTCTCTCTCTGTGTGGTACTGGGGATCAGATCCAGGACTTGGCAAGTGCTCTACCACTGAGCTACATCCTCAGCCTTTGGTTTTTGGAGAGAGGGTCTTGCTGTGTAGCTCAGGCTGACCTCGAATTTGTGATCCTCCTCTTTGTACCACCTAAGTTCTGGGTTTACAGGCATGTGGCACCATGCTTCTCCCTCAATTTTTTTTAAACACAGTTGTGGTCTTCTTTTCTTTTTCTTTCTTTCTTTTCATTTTAGTTCCTTTCTTCTTTTTTTTTAGATGAGATCTCACTATGTTGCCTAGGCTGATGTTGAACTCCCAAATACCTTTTCAATATTTCAACTTTGGGCTGGTAGAGTGCTCAAGTGGTAGAACACCTGCCTAGCAAGCGTGAGACCCTGAGTTCAAACTCCAGTTTGAACTACCAAAAAACAAACAAAAAAACCCAACTTATCATAAAATATTTTGACTTAACAAGAAATACATGGTTCCTGCATGAGAATTACATAAAATATTAAACACAAAGTCTCCTTTCTTTCACTTGCTTCCAAGTGAAAAAATCTGACCAGTGGCAAGTAACAGAATCACAGCATTAAACCGGCTTCATCAAAGAGGAATCTATAGTTCACCAAGCTGGCATAAGATTGAAGGAAAACCACCACGCACCAAGGTCTTAGTGACTGGTACTAGAGATGCAATACTCATAGGAGTTTCGTCCTTTCTCTCACCTCTCCTTGTATGGATTTCTCTTTGCATATGGACTTCTTTTCCTCTGCAAGGTAAGATTCTCTACCTGGCAGGAAACATTGAGAGTCCAAGTCCAATAGGGGAGCTGCTCCCAGTTTCACATATCACTCTCAGAGAAGGACTCTGATTGACTCTGCTTGAGTGATTGAGTGACATGGCTACCACTTGTCCCCCAAAATGTTGCCAGAGGAATGAGGTCCTGTATTGGGCAAATGTTCTGTGATGGACAGCCATCCACACCAAAGTCACAAGGATGGAAGAGGGACTTTGCCCAAAGGAAATAGGATGCCAGAAAGGCAAAAACAACAAACCCATCTCACCCCTGCTCCCACCAGCCAGAGATAACCAGGGTTAATATTTTTGGCACACATACTTCCTCCTGCAGCATCCACTTTCAGTGAGAATATTTCAAGGTACTAATAAAAACAATGAGTCAAGGAAAATTCAAATATGCCAAAAAAGGGCTGGTGGAGTGGCTCAAGTGATAGAGTGCCTGCCTAGCAAAGTCTAGCAAGCATGAGGTCCTGAGTTCAAGCCCCAGTGCTGCCAAAAAACAAAAACAAATATGCCAAAAAGAGGGAATAGTTTTTTCCTCTCCTTTGTTTTCAAAAATATGACTAAGTAGATCAGACATTGCCATCTCCATCAATTCCTTTATTTTGTTCAGTGCTAGGGATGGAAAGTCAGGGATTTACACATGCTAGGTAAGTGTTCTACCACTGAGCTATATCCCTGGCCTGAGAAATGTTTTTTTGTTTTTGTTTTTTTTAGAAATGTTTTTATAATAGCAAAATTGTAAGGTACACTTGGCAGGTAGAATAGTTACATAACCTGTTCAATAAAAGGAATAGATTTGTTTGAGGTTAAGCAATAACTTGAATGTAACATACAAACCCAAGATTATTCATAGCAGAGTGGAGAGAAGCATCAGAAATGTTAATAGTTGTCAAAAATTATCTTATTTAGTTTTGTTTCTTTTACTTCTCTCTACATGCCTATATTCTCTATACTTTCTTTGTTGGTTAACATTAAGTTTATAATCTAAAAGTCTCTTTTAAAAAGAAGTATGCCAAGGGCAAAGTGTGTGGCTTAAGTGGTATAGCACTTGCCTAGCATGCTCAAAGTCCTGGTTTTAGTTCCCAGTACGGCAAAAAAAAATTACACCAAGTTGAGTGTGGTGGTACACACCTATTATCCCAGCACTTAGCAGGCCAATGCAGGAGGGTCACAAATTTGAGAGCAACTTGGGACATACTCACTTGTCTCAAAAAAAAAAAATACATGTATATATATATATATATAGAGAGAGAGAGAGAGAGAGAGAGAGAGAGAGAGAGAGTGGCTCATGCCTGTTATCACAGCTACTCAGGAGGTAGAAATCATGAAGATCACAATTTGAGGTCAGCCCAGGCAAAAAGTTAGTGAGCTCCTGTCTCAGTCGATAAGCAGGGCATGCTAGTTCCAGATACACAGGATTTTCTAGGAGGATCATGGTCTGAAGCTGACGCTACCTGAAAAGTACCAAGCGAAAAAAAGAGCTGGCGGTGTTGCTCACATGCTGGAGTGCTTGTCCACCAAGTGCATGAGATGCTGTGTTCAAACTCCAGCACCACCAAAAAATTTATACCAAAAAAATAGTGGTTGTATACCAAACTAGTATTCAATTATTTAAAATTTCGTTTTAAAATTTAAACACTGTAAGAAATAAAACATTTAAATGTCAGATCCATCACATCTTTCTTCTACTACTATTTGAACAGTGATGGCATGTTGAAAGAAGTTTTGAAGTCAGGAAGACCTGGATTCAAACCCCACCTCTACTGGGCACCAGCTGTAGGTTAGCAGGTCAATTGTATGGCTCTGGGCCTGTCTTGTCATCTATAACAAGGCATGATTATAGCCATAGTCATGACTATTCTGAGGATGAGACCACTTAGGAAGCTTCTTTTACTCACTAGGCTAGGTCTCTTGTAGCCACTTTGGTTCCCAGCACATAGTGCATAGTAGGTACTCAGTTAAGAATAAGTCAGAGGGAAGAATTTTCTTCTTTCCTAGGAGAGCTGCTTTTCAAATTATTCCAATTTCCATTCCTGAATTCCTGCATATTCTTGTCAAGCTCCCTGCTGCCTTTGGGGTATCTATCTATTTTCTCTATATATCAGGAGCAGCCCATCCCAGGAGAAGCCCATGGGTCCCTCCACTATTTGTCAGCTATCACCCATTTCTCTTGACCAGCACAGACCTACCCTGGGGCAGAGGTTCTTGTGCTTTCCTGCTGACCCTCCATCCTCTTGCCTGTAATGTTGTCATGTGTTGGTGGCAGCAGATCTGGACAGGGATGTGTAGAATTGGCCTCTAGCATTTGAACAGGCTTACAAAACTGACTCATTATCAGCTGTCTGATCTGGCCCTTCCCCCTTCCGAATCCTGGTCTCCTCACCTGTCAGATAAAGGTATTGCTTGCGCTGACAGAGTTGTTGACAGGAGCAAATGAATTGAGTGCTTGGCACTGCACTAGCTGGGTCCTTTGTAGAATCGTCTCCTAGAGTTGTGTTTTAATGATGTGTCCTGAGCTCTCATCAAAGGTTGCAGTAAGAAATCACCCCATGAAACTTGTATCCTCATTTGCTGTCACATTTATGGAGAATATTTTCAATATATGATTCCAGTTTCTACATGAAAAATTATTAAAATTTTTGTCAGAAAAACTGGGAGCTGCCCAGTTCTGGGACTGACATTTTATCGTATTTTATTTCCGTTTTTGCCTTGGCTTCCAAGAAGCTTAGAGCAAAATTTAATGCTTACTGAGAGCAGCTGCATTAAACCTAATGGTCTTAACTTTGTATTGGCATTTTATGAAACTCATTGTGTATATCTTTAAAAAAAAATTTTGATGGGAATGGAGTTTGAACTCAGGGCTTCTTCACACTTGCAAAGAAGGCACTCTACTACTTGAGCCCACCTTCAGTCCATTTTGCTCTGATTATTTTGAAGATGGGGTTTTGCAAACTATTTTCCCAGACTGGCCTTGAACTGAGATCCTCCTGATACCAGACTCCGAAGTAGCTAGTATTACAGGCATAAACCACCAGTGCCCAGCCTTGTACATATTTTTGATAATATGCTATCTTAAATCCTGCTGAGAAGGAAAGGAAGAAAGGAAAAAGGAAGGAAGCAGGTATAGTTTGAACACCTGTTGGAGTGAGTGATACATGCCTATTGTGACATCCAAAATAATTGTGACTTAAATAAAATGGGATGTATAACAACCTGTCCATCAGCAGTCCTGAGCTTCATCTTAGCTGTGTCCACACTGTTACTATGCTATTGTCTTCTATCTCATTTCAACGTGCTTGCCACCATGCTTCATTCCATCCAGGGGGAAATGGGAACACAGAGGGCACACCTCAGGACCCATGATATCTACAGGCATCTCCTCCACGCTCCACTTACAGCTCATTGGCCAAAATTTAGTTGCATGTTCACACCACTGTGCGGGCAGCTGGGATACTCAGAGGCACATGTCCAATTAAAATCAGGAGTTCTGTTGTTATCAAGGAAAAGGAGAAGAGTTTGGAGGACATCTACCACAACCACCATCTCCACTGGTTTTCTTGGCGCATGGTTGTGCTTTCATCTGCCTGACTTCACTCTCACCCTCTCCAAGCAGTCTAGCCTCTATGTTCTCTGCTATCAGAGTACTTTCTAATTCAGTGTGATAACATGGCACTGCTCATGAACCTCCCCTGGCTCCCTACTACCTAGGAAAATGATTCTCGGTGGTGGGGGGGGAGGAGGGGGTGGGGGGAAGGGGAGAGAAATTACCCAATCATTGTATACACATATGAATAAAATAAAAATTAAAAAAAAAGAAATTAAAAAAATGATTCTCAAACTTTAACGTGCACCAGGAATCACATGGAAAGCATGTTGTCTTTATTTTTTGTTTTCAAGATGAGGTCTCACTGTGTTGCCCAGACCAGCTCCAAAGTGGGATCAAGTGATGCTTCTGTCTCAGCCTCCTGAATAACTGGAACTTCAGGTACATGCCATCATACCTGTGTTGGAGAGCACATTAAAACAGAGTTCCTGATTCTGTAGAACTAGGGCCTGAGAATTTGCGTTTTTTCAAGTTCCTAAGTGATACTGATGCTGCTGGTCCAAGGACCACACTTTGAGAACCATCAGCATAGAGAATAAAGTTCTACTTAGCCTGCCATTCATAGTCTCTTCCAGCCTGGTCTCACCCTACTTTCCAGCCCTGTCTCTTATTCTTCCCATCCTCCTCCACACACCCAGGGCTCCAATCACACTGAAGTTCTCACCTCTCTCCAAGCAGACCAGCTGTTCACACCTCTGTGCCTTGCTGTCTTGCTGTTCGTTTTGTCTGGAATGTCATCTTCTGCCTGGCAACTACCTCCCTGGAGCCTTTTACCACCCCCTAAGTTGTTGTTAAGTAACTTTCTGCTCCAGGGCCCTGCAGACTCTGTGCACTCTGACCTGCCTTTCTTTGCCTATCCAGAATCAACCTGTCTTGGGAATTTTAGTCACCTCCATTGCTCTCAGCCATGGGAACAGGGTCACTGAATGAGTCAGTAGAAGTGTGAAGCTGGAAACGGAGGCAAGTGAGTGAGTTAGTACATGAGCGAGTACGTTATGGGCCATCTGCACCTGGTCCTCTCCACTGAGTCTTGGGCCAAGGCTGGGGAAGGACTTTACTCCCTGACCATATTCTCATAAAGTTCCAGCCATCACATCTTTCTCAGTAGCAGTCAGCTGGGACCCAGTGTCTGTTCCTGAGCCTTAACCCACTACTCTTGCTCACCCTGGTTTCTCAAAGTCAGTTGTAAAGCATCTAAAACTCTGGGGAAACAATGCTACACCTGACTGATGCCTCCTAGGGCCAAGACACAAAAGGCTGTCCTCCAAACAATTTCCCCTTCTCGTGGGGAAGCCAGCTTCCTCCAGACTCCATGAAGGGGGACTCCTTTGGCTCCGGCATGCACAGATATGGCCATGAGAACTCTGTCAGAGATGGTGCTTCCTGGGACCAGTAATGTTTGCATCAAGGCTGTGTAGGCTCAGAACGGCACTGTATATCTGTGAGCCTCAGTGTCCTCTGCAACCTGTGAATAACGCTACTTTGTAGGTAGGTAGTGAGCATCAAATAAGACCTTTAGGTAAAGGGCCCAGCACCATACCTGGATATGCAATAGAGAATAACTAAAGTTCTCACAACTGATCCTTGAAAGTTCAGTCTCTTCCCTAATGAACCAGGCTCAGTCAATATTCTAACATTCTTCCTTCTATTTATATCCCTCTTCCACCCTCACAATTCTACCCAATTTTGAGGCTTCAGCTCTCATCCCACTTCCTCCACAAAACTCTCTTCCTCCAACTCTCTACTGACAATGCCTTTCTACACTTAAGGTCCAGCCTAATGAATATGGAAGTGAGTGATTAGTTAAGAGAAAGGTGTCTGCAGGCAGGGCTGCCATGTGTGGCTTCACAAGTTGGGCACTGCCCGAGTGTAGGAAGTACTATTTCCTATTACATAAATTTAATAGGACTGGGACTCCACTGAGTTTAGAATAAAAAGGCTCTGCCTCCAAGCCAAATGGGCTGAGTATGAATCCTGGCTCAAAAACTCAACTGTTTGACCAGACAAGATATGTAACTTCATAAGCCTGTTCCTCCTGTGTGAATAGAATGCTAACAGTAAGTACCTACCATTTGGGGTGATTGAGATTAGGTTCTTGAGCAAGTTTAGAACAGTACCTGGTACCTGGCTAACGTTTACTGCAGTTGGTTTCTCATTGTCATGTGTGGGGTCTTTTCTCTGTGAGAAGACTGTAGCAACCTGGGCACGAGCCGTTGAATTGCAGTGGCTCGTCCCACACCTGGTGGGAGCGTGCTGCCCCTCGCTCAGGACCCTGTTGCTTCTCTTTTTGTGAAAATCCTCTTTTATGAGTCAGTTTGTTTGTTTTTTTGGTGGAGCTGAGGTTTGAACTCAGGACTTCACGCTTACAAAGCAGGTGCTCTACTGTTTGAGCCACCCCTCCAGTCTTTTGCTCTGGTTATTTTGGAGATGGGGGGGTCTCACAAACTGTTTGCCTGGGCTGGCCTCAAAAGTTCAATCCATTTGATCTCAGCTTCCCAAGTAGCTAGGATTATAGGCCTGAGCCATGGCTTCCCTCAGAGCAGTCTTAAAGGAGGTCCGAGTGTCCCAGGTTGTAAAATGCCATTTCCTGAGCCAATCATTGTGGTTAGAGGGACGGGGTGCTATGCTATGATTGGCCAAACTGGGGTCACTTGTCCACCTAGTTTGATAGCAGCAGTCCCACAGAATGACATGATTCGGATATTGTAATTATCTAACAGAAAGAGAGGTGTCATCCTTCTTTAGGGATCAGGGCATAAAGAAGTTATATACAGCTTCTCCGCCGCTCTGCTGGGTGGACCTCAACTTCCTAGGTAAATTGTGAATTGCTCTGAGGCTAGTCTGAGGAGAATGTGAAGCAGGGAGGACAGCATATCCATTTTGTCTGTATCCCTCAGGCCTAGCTTCCTGCCCAGGCTATGGGAGGCTGTTGGTGGCCTATCCAGTAATTATTTCCCCCTCCCTACTAAGATCTTGTGTGTTCCACCCTCTCTCCCTGCCACTTTGGGCCCTGTGGGGCAGCAGACTCCACTCTAACTAGTTGAAACCCATTCATCATCCTGTGCCACAGGAACTGTTTCAGGAAGGGGCATGGAAGACCCCATCAGGCCAGTGAGACATAATGAGATCTGGGAAAGGATTTCATGTTCTTTAGGGAGTGCCCCGGAAGCCAGATGCCTCCCGTTCTATATAATGCTGGACATAAATGAGGAGGCATGTGGCTTTGACTGCTCCTGCCTAACGCCCTGCAGCTAGAGGGGAGGCACCTTAAATAGAAGCTGATGCTAGAGAGGGCACTGTGGAGACACCTAAAGAACTGGACCTTAAGTCAAGTGTGGTGGCACATGCCTGTAATCCTAGCTCTCGGAAGGCTGAGGGAGAAGGATAAGAAGTTCAAGACTGGCCTGGGCTACACAGCCAAAGGAACTGGGTCCTTGATGGTCCTGACTTGCTAGTTGGCCAACCCTGCCCCAGGACCGTCAAGCTACTGCCAACATATAACGCCCATCACCGAATGCACATTCGTGTGGAAACTGGTGCTAAACCATTTGTAGACGACCTGCTTCTGGGTCAGGGTTTCATAGGTAGCAGAGCAGCTCCCTCACTGAGATCTATTAAAAGTCAGCCCTGACACAAGGGTTTGTAAAAGAAATAAAATGAAAAATAAAAACAAAACAAAACAAAAAAGAATACCATGGGTGAGTGGCCACAGGCTGAGAGCCACCAAGCACAGTCTCCTAAACCTTTGTCACCTACACAAGTATCTTCCTAACCCACAGTAACAGACACTCAAAAACTCTGGGTGTTTTTTTTTTTAAAAACCACAGCAGTCACTTTATTCTTAAGTTTGCACTTTACAAAACCACAAGGGAGAAGTCTCTGAGGGGGAACAGGGTAGGAGGTAAAGGAGTGGGGGATGGCGAGGGAAAAAAGGAAGACCCAGAAATGAAGCCTCCCTCATCCTGGGGACCAGGCAGACTGAGCCCAAGCCATCCCACCAGAGCCTCCTACATCCTGACTGTACAGATCTGGGCCAAAAGACCTGACAGGAGGACCTCAGCTCTCTAGAGACCATCACCATTTGATGGGCAGCCATGGGCCAAGGATTCTGGCACCCAAAGAAGGAAGTGGGCTTCACCCACGCCAGAGAAGGCAACCAGAGGCAGGAGTGAGGGCTACCCATCCAGCAGCTTCAGGATGCTCTCACGCTCCTTCAGGGTCTTCCAGGCCTGGTCCTTTTCCTTCTTAGTGGGGGTCCGCTTCTTCTGCCGGGCAGCCATGATCTTGCGAAAGGCGTCCATGACCTCATTGTCTGCCATGCGGACACGCTGCCTCAGCTCCTGCCGGCTCACCTCCTCCTTTGCCAACCTGTGGAGACCAGCCACTAAATGCTATGGTCATCCCATCACCAGAGTATGACACCTCCCTCTTCCATACTGGGCCTACCCACCATTCGTGTTCATATGGTACTATGTGCTATGCACTTTTTTTTTTTTTTTTTGTGGTACCGGGGGCTTGAACTCAGGGCCTACACCTTGAGCCACTCCACCAGCCCTTTTTTGTGATGGGTTGTTTTGAGATAGGATCTCATGAACTATTTGCCCAGGGTGGCTCTGAACTGAGATCCTCCTGATCTCTGCCTCCTGAGTAGCTAGAATCACAGGCGTGAGCCACCAGTACCCAGCTGCTATTTTAAGGGCATCAAAAGCATTTAACACATAAACCAGATGTGGTGTGCACTATAATTCCAGCACTCAGGAGACTGAGGCAGGAGGATTGAGAGTTTGAGGCCAGCCAACAACAGAAAATTAACTCATGTTGATCATGGGAGAAGCTGTGCATGGGAGGAGCCAGAAGTTATATAGGAAAAAAATCTACCTTCTCAATTTTGCTGTGAAAGTAAAACTGCTCTAATAAAAAATCTTTAAAAAAAAAATACACAAAACAATAACATGTAGCTGGGCACTGGTGGCTCACACCTATAATCCCAGCTACTCAGGGGCAGAGATAAGGAGGATCTCAGTTCGAAGCCAGCCCAGACAAACAATTCGTGAGACCCTATCTCATAGAAACCCATCACAAAAATAGTGCTGGTGGAATGGCTCAAGGTGTAGTCCCTGAGTTCAAACCCCAGTGCTGCAAAACAACAACAACAAAACACATGTACACAATTACCTGGTTAATCCATATAATGACTCTATAAAGTAAATACTATTATTCCCATGTTATCAGTGGGGAAACTGAGTCTCAAGGAGGACATGGAATGCTTCCAAGATCCTACAATGAGTGGGAGATCTGGAGTAAGCCAGCCTCAAACTGCTTTTAAACAATATTCCTTGAAAAGTGTTCTCGTGTCAACAAAAGACCTGCTTATCTCAGCATCCAAATTTCAAAGCAACCGAAGGGTCTGGAAGCCTGAGGCTGATAGGACACGTATGCATAGTGGGGGTGTGTATATGCCAAGTCAATCCCTGTGAACTGGACCTGACTTACAAATTCCATTGGTATGGAACTGAAGACCCTTACAGTTCTAGTCCAACCTGTTACTCTTCTAGAAATGGAAACTGCTGCTTGGTTGGGGGTGTCTGGCTTAAAGCTCTGAAGCTGGTTAACAGCAGGACTGAGGCTACACTCTGGCTTTTTGATAGCCCTGAGCTATTTCTTCACTTCCCGTTACTTCTGTAATTGCACAGTCCTGCTTTTCTCTATTTCTCTCGCCTTTCCATGGTGCTGCTTTCATCTGTATTTTCCTCTTTTCGCCCTTGAGAGGGAACATGATCTAGAAAAAGGGTTGGATTTAGCCTTGGCTCCAGTCTCAACTTGACTGTTTATTGGATGTGTAACTTTTGACAAAGCACTTCACTTTGCCAAGGCTTTACTTCCTCATCTGGTAAACAGGAAAAATACTGTCTACTCCCTGGGTTGCCAAGATTAAAGGATGTATACAGAAAGCCCCTGGCACAGTAGGCACACAGTAGGCACTCAGTACACATTAGTTTCCCTTATTCTTAAATACCATAGCAGCTTGTCAGCAGTTGCCTCTCCTTTGAATGGTGCATGTCTTTCCCAACCATCTACTAGTAGACTGAGTCCTTGGCTCTGCTTTTCTTCCTAGCCCCCAGTACAGTTTCACAGAGAAAGGAAGGGCTAGTCAGGCAAGTGAGCGAGTCCTGCCCTGTCAGGGAGACAGCATAGACCTGTGGGAAGCAAGAAGTCTTGTTGGGGTTGTTTCTTGATCTCCCCAATAAAACGGTAGCTCCTATCATAGTCTTCTTCCAAGTGTCACCTATCCTATACCTTGTTGTGATCAAAACAGGCCAAGATAAATGGGAGCTAATACAGAATGAATGGCACTATCAACAATTCTCTAAAGAACTGGTCCTAGTGAGGCTGGGATTGGGAGGATCATGGCTCTGAGGCCAGCCGTGGCAAACAGTTTTGTGAGACCCCATCTCCAAAGTAACCAGAGCAAAATGGACTTGAGGTGTGGCTCAAGTGGTAGAGTGCCTGCTTCATAAGCATGAAGCCCTCAGTTCAAACCCCAGTCCCACTAAAGAAAAAAAAAAAAGAACTGGTCATAAAACAATGGTCAATTTCAGGTGACAGGCCAATAAAAATCTTAGATGTCCAACAAAATCCTTTTTTTTTTGGTGGTACTGAGGTTTGAACTCAGGGCCTTGTGTTTCCTAGGTAGGCACTTTTTCAGATACGGTCTCATGTTTTTTTTCTCAGACTGGCTTTGGACTGCAATCCTTCTGTCTGCCTACCAAGTAACTGTGATTAAAGGCGTAAACCACTGTGCCAGGCTCTGTATATTTTTGATAAAATGAAATAAATCTGAAGGAAAAAGAAAATAAGCATGAAAAGACAAAAATTAAATCCTAACAATGTGAATATGGCTAACACTACCAAGCTGTACACTTAAAAATGGTTAAGACTATCCATCTTATGTTTTCCACAATTAAAAAACTGAATTCAAATCAATCAACCACAGGTGCTGGAACCCTAACCTACAGACTTAGACTCTAACGAGGGGAGTGACGCCTGGTGTTTGTTCAAGGCTCTCCTGAGGATGCAGAGGCACAGCCAGCTTTATTCTGTCTAAAGCCCTGGGAGGTGACCGCAGCAGTCAGTGCCTCCTGCACACACTCACCTCAGCAGGTCATGCTTCTTGGTGCGGTTGTGGGCGCTGAGTGCCTTCAGCTCAGCCTGTCGTTTGCGCAGCTCAGCAAGGACCTCATCCTCGGAGTCCTCCGCCGGTCGGTCCTCAGACTCCAAAAGGCCCTGAGCAATCAGCTCCTCCTTAATGCGGCTCTCCAGGGACTTGGTATGCGGCACACTACAGGGCGAGGCTGGCCTGTCAGGCTCCGGAGAATGGCCCTCAGTTCAAGGGCCAGTGTGAAGGAGCCACCCAGAGGTTCCCAGGGCTTCCCAAGCTTAGTGAGTACCTTTGGAAGCACCCTCTATATTCGTATGTAAATATGTTCCAGATTTTGTTACATAACAAGTGCAATTTTTGTTATCTATTCCAGACTTTCCCCCTCTTTGTACATATTGAAGTATATTTTAAGTAAAAATGGGATCATACTGTCTCTACTGGGCTAGCATGAACATTTCCCCTATCTGGCACCCTATTACTTAACTCGTTATTTCATGTCAATGAAGTATAGCTCTCTAATGTGATTAATAGTTGCCAGTTATTTTTAGCATATGTACTTAGGACAATGTAACCAACCAATCCCCTTTAGTGGGGCATTCAGATTATTTAGAGGAAGAACAGAGCTGTGATGAACAAGCCTGGACGAAACCTGTCAGCACAAACACTGGATCGGCATTCACATGTGAGATGTCTACTGAGCTTTATCAGACTATCCTCAGCCTCTCCATTAATGAAAACCCCCTCATGTTAAGATGTTCAGAGGCCAACAGCCAAGCTGGTGCTGGGATGCGAAGTATAGACAGGATGTCACTCACCTGAAAGGCTTGTTCTGATTGCGAGGAGAAGTGCTTGCCCCGTCGGCCCCTGATTCTTTCCCAGACATGTCAGGAATAGGAGAGTCCTCCATAGGGGAAATAATATTTTCCTAAAGACCACAGAGATGGGGTAGAAGGGAAAAAACTGCAGTGTTTCCATTCTTCTGCACCTCTCTGACCTACATGGACAATTTTCACAGGCCAGAAATATTCCTTGATCTTTCCCATCCCTTCTTCTAAGAAGCCCTCTCAAAAAGCTCTGATCATTCTAGAAATTCCCTTTTTGTTATACTGATACCAAAAGGAGGGAATACAAAAGAGCTATGATAACATTCAATGATGGTGACGGGAATAGCTAAGGTTTGTTAAGCATTTGCAAGGCACCCAGGACTATGTGAGCATGTTGTTTAAGAGGCTGCTAGCCATCCTGGCATCAGACTCTCCTTTTTTCATGGCAACTGGGCTACACTACATTTCCCAGGTTCCCCTGCAGGCAGGTAAGGTCATGGGACAAATTCTCTCAGTGGAAAGTGATCTAGAGATAAGAGTCATGTCTAGTCACGATAAAAAGCTTCCTTCACGCACTCCGTGTTTAACTTCATGGGCTTGAAGTGGTGATCATACCTAGCAATGACTTGGTGCCAATGGAAAAGGCACTTATCATCGGGGTCTCTGTCTGATGCCATCAGACAGAGATCTTCCCCTACCCTTGTCTTATTCAGTCAACCTGAAATGTCTGAGCCAGACTATTCTGAGAGAGAAATAAACTATTCTGTTTGAGCCAAAAGAGGAAACTGAAGCTCAGTGAGGTAAGAGGGTGTGCCTAAGGTCAGTTAGTGAGGATAAAGATAGAGACCCTGAAGCTAGGGTTTGAATCTTATCTTTGTTTATTAGTTATGTGAGCTTAAGCAAACAGTTCTCTTTTCTGAGCCTCTATTTTCTCATATGTAACACAGAGCTAACCACTATTCTTGCCTCTAGTGAGAGGATACATGGTAACAACTAAAGCAGCTGGGCAAGCAGCTATCTTGGGGGGGGACGCTGAGACGGAGAAAGCGGTGAGGGTAGCTTCTAGGATATGGTCATGTTTTATTTTGTGGTCTCCAGCCTGGTAGTACAGGCTCACTTGTGACACTTTATCAAGCTCATGAACATAAAGCATTAAAACAGAAAGGACACCAGGCGCCAGTGGTTCACCCCTAGCTTCTCAGGAGGCAGAAATCAGGACGATTGCAATTGGAAGCCAGCTTGGGTAAATAGTTTGCAAGACCCTGTATTGAAAAAACCCACCACAAAAAAAGGGCTGGTGGGGTAGCTCAAGATGTAGGCCCTGAATTCAAGCCCCAGTGCTGCCAAAAAAGAAGGAAAAAAACCAGAAAGGAAAGGAGGGGCTGAAGTCATGGCTCAAATGGTACAGCACCTGCCTAGCAAGTGTGAGGCATAAGCTAAAACCCCAGCAATACCACAGAAAAAAAAAAAAAACAAAACCAGAAAGGAAACAGTTCCTGTTTCGAGTTGGAGGTGGAGTACTCACCTCCACCAAGGCCTGCAGGAGGCGCTGTGTCAGGGCACCAAAGGGGCAGCCATCTTCGGGCTGTTCATGCTGGGCCTCGGACTTCTTCAGCAAGGCATCCACATCTGAAGCAGGCAGGGAAGAGGACGGCAGGTGGGCTGAAGGAACTCAAATCCTGGCCTGGAGTGGACACGGAGGTGAGGGGCCTACCTTTAGTGTCCAGCTCGGTCAGAGGCCCCATGAGGCCTTTCTTCTTGTCAGCCACAGCTGCTGCCCGAGCACCATCCTTCTGTTCCTCCAGCAGGTCCTCCTGGGCCCAGCGTTGGGAATAATGTCTCCCTAGTGGTGGGATCTGTGGGAAACAGGTCATTCAGCCCTAAGCAGTTAACACTGGTCAGCCATGCCTAGATAGTGGTGGGCTCTCTTTGTACTCATTCCCTCATTCCTCCATTCACTTATCTGTTGCTTAAGTAGCCAGCCGATGGCCAAGGCTGGTGCTACATATGGGTGACAAGAGACACACTCTAGTAAGAGAAACAGGTAAGAGGTACAGAAAAACCAAGACAAAGTTGGGCTCGAGGGGAAACACCTGGAATCTCAGCCCTGAAGAAGCTGAGGCAGGAGGATCACAAACTCATGGCCAGTCTGAGCTACAAGGGAGATCCTGTCTCAAAACAAAAACAAAACAAGCCAGGCACCAGTGGTTCATGCCCATAATCCTAGCTACTCAGGAAGCAGAAATCAGGAGGATCACAGTTTGAAGCCAGCCTGGGCAAACAGTTCTGTGAGACCCTATCTCAAAAAAACCCCTTCACAGAAAAGGGTTGGTGGAGTGATGGTTCAAGGTATAGGCCTTGAGTTCAAGCACCAGTACTGCAAAAAAAAAACTAAAACATACACAGAAGTTAGCAAGGAACAATTTCCAAGAGGTACAAAATATTGTGTGTACGTGTAGTCTCAGGCACAGCTAATGTCTCTGAGAACTAGAGGCCTTTGGGTCAGGGATGTGAGGGAATTTATTTTTTGTGTTACTTGAATTTACTATGTGGATTTTTTTTAAGTAAGTTTTTTTGTTTTTTTTTTTTTGGCGGTACTGGGATTTGAAATCAAGGTCTCATGCTTGCTAAGAAGGTGCTCTACCACTTGAGCCATTCTGCCAGCCCTCTAGTAAATGTTTTTTGGGTTTTTTTTTTCAGCACTGAGGTTTGAACTCAGGGCCTCACACTTGCTAGGCAGGCACTCCTATCACTTGAGCCACTCCACCAGCCCTTTTTCTTGTGATGGGTATTTTTGAGATTGGGGCTTGCAGACTATTTGCCTAGGTATGGCTCTGAACCACAATCCTCCTGATCTATGCTTCCTAAATAGCTAGGATTACAAATGAGAGCCACCAGCACCTGGCTCAAATAAATTTTTAGAAGTTCAGATAAATGAAAGTAAAGAGGTAGATCAAGGTACTATGGCAGCACAAAAGTGACCACTTTCTGCTGGGGAATTTGAAAAGGCATGCTGGTGGCAGTAACATGAGATCAGAGTCTTGAAGAGTGAAGTAGTCTGTCAAGAGCAGAAGGATTTGTATAATGGCCCAGTAGGGACCCCGGGTGAGCCTGAAGTGAGGGTGAGGTGCTTGGTGGGGCAGGTAAATGTAGCATCGAAGAGGAATGTGCGCAAGGAAACTGGAGAGGGGCACTGAGGCTGCGCCACCAAGAACCAAAACACTTGAACTCAGCCCTGTGGGTGAGAGGAGCCAGGGGTGACCTGGAAGCAAGACCACATTGTGAGTGCATCTGACTGTGGCAGCTGACCTACGGAGAAGTTCCTTCCCAATACTCTCTGGGTTTTTTACATTTTCTTTAACGGAACATGTTTTATTTTCATGGTAAAGAACAAAAAATTAACTTTGGGGGTTGAGAGTGTGGCTCAAGAGTAGAACACTTGCCAAGCATTCCTGAGGCACTGGGTTCAATCCCCAGTGCTACAAACTAGTGGTAATAGTAATAACTTTTAAGCGAGGCACAGTGGCACATGCCTGTAATTCTAGTCACTTGGAGGTAGAGGCAGGAGGGTCACTTGAGCCCAGGGATTTAAGGCCAGCCTGAGTAACACTGCAAGACTCCATCCCTTAAACAAAAAAATTAACTTTATATGTTAAAGAAAAAGAAAGATGCCTCTGGAGCTCTAAAAGCAAAGAGAGTATTAAGAGGGTATTTTTTTTTTTCTTTTTGTGGTACTGGGGTTTGAACTCAGGGCTTCACACTTGTTAGGCAGGTGCTCTACCACTTGAAACACTCCCAGCCCTAAAGAGGCTATGGGATAAAAGGTGACGAAGGGTTGAACCAAAGCAGAGGAGACGGAGATGAGGCGCCAAGGGCAGTCTTCACTGATGTAGATGCTTGAGGCTGTAGTCAACGGAAGGGGCGTAAGCAGAAAACTGAGCACTGGAGCCTGTGTGTGTGGATGGGTAATGGAGCATACAGGAGGCAGTCAGGGTGGGGGAAGGCAGATCATGCATGATTTACTATCTGATTCTGAGCCACTCTCAACTCCCTTGTTCTCCCCCATGTCTGTGGAAGCTCAGGGTTTCTACCTTGTAATGTTCAGCCTCATCTTCAGGGGGTTTCAGGAGCTCCTCTAGCGTGCGCACCTCCTCACTGGTGATATCTGCACAATAAGGCTCCACAGAGGCCCAGAATCTGTGGGAAGAAGCAGATCCTGAGTGGGAACCCTCAGGGCCTCCATAAGCCTCAGTGCCAGAATCCCAAGGCTCCCTCTATCAACCCTTTGTGTTCTCTGGCCCAGACCTGTTAGGGGCATCGTTCTTGGGGATCCGTGGCACATCGATTGGGTCATCAGTGAATTCATATTCCTGGATCTTGGGCTGAAGATTTTTGGATTTGGGTCGCCCAGGGCCAGGGCCTGGCCCATGTCCTGCCTTCCCTTCCAGTTTCTGTTTCTTGGGCTTCCCATGTTTGGGAGGAGCTCCAAGCTCATGGTCTCGACCCAGCTTCAGGAATCGTCGGTCACCTTTCTTATCCTGCCAGTCAGTGAGGATCTGAAATTTACAGAAACTGTCACTGAGAAGGAGAAGGGAAGACACAGGACAACTCTTTCCCCAGCAAATAAATTTGGATCTACAATCTAAGGAGGCTCCCAGGTCTTTCCCAATTCTCTTTTTATTTCAAGAACTCCTACTCACTCTCAAAACCCAGCTCTTTGCCTGAGCCCCTATCTCACATGACTTTACTCAAAAATTCATCTTTCTGTTTATTTGTTTGTACTCTGGTTGGCCTTTGTATCACTCAAACTAGTCACACACTGTTCAGCAGAAAGGCCAAAGAAGTGATCAGACCTTAGTGCATGTCAGTACTAGGAACTTTGCTGGAGGTGACTTTGTGGTGAAGGCAAGCAAATGTCCCAGCAAACCTTCATTTTAGGAAGTCCTCTTTGCACCAGTTACCTGGCTTCTTAGGTGCTACAATAAAACTGACTATGTCACAGTCCTCCTCAGAAAGATTTCATGGATTCCCCAGGGAATCCCAAGTTAACTGTGTTTCATCCTCTGAGGTTCAGGTGCCTACTTCCTGTCTGATCCCTACATTGGGACCCACCCATGGTGTATGGTCATACTGGAATGAAAAGCACACCTTGTCTCTTCTGCTGAACTATAAGCTACTAGAGACTAAGAAACTCATCCTAACTATCTCTGTTCCCTAGGATCCAGCATACAGCCTAGAACACAGGGCTCAGGGGAATTTTATGCAGAGAATATGAGTATTCTCTGCATACTGTAAATAATAAATATTTATTAGCAATAAATATATTTGAACTGCTTACTGAGTATCAGATATTGAGCTGAGCCTTTGCAAAAAATTCTTTTAACCCTCACAAAAGTTACAAGGTAGGTCTATTATTAGGCCCATTTTGCAGATAGGGAAACTGAGGCTAGGAACTATGAAGTAATTTTCTCAAAGTCACAAAACTAGGAAATAGTTGCACTCACAAGTGCTTGCCCAATATAGAAATCCAGGTCTCCCCATTCCCTTTAGTTATCAAATTCTCTGATGGTGCCAGGCACCGGCAGCTCCTAGCAACTCAGGAGTCAGAAATCAGGAGGATCGAGGTTCAAAGCCAGCCCAGGCAAGTAGTTTGAGAGATCCTATCTGGCAAAACCCTTCACAAAAAAAAATAGGGCTGGTGGAGTGGCTCAAGGTGTAGGCCCTGAGTTCAAGCCCCAGTGCCGCAAAAAAAAAAAAAATTCTCTAATGGCCAAATTATCCTAATTTACATCTCTCTACTGACTAGCACAGGACTCAGAATATAATGGTGGGGTCGGGTCAATAAAAGCTTTGTGAATGAGAACTCTTGCAATTTATGAGGCCATGCATATTCCTGTGCATTTTGCATGTCACCTGAGTCTGACTTGAGACTATCTTCCCATCAATCCCTCAGCCTCAGCAGATGGAGCTAACTGATGACCCATTCCATAACTTGACACAGTCCATCTCTCATGATGTCCTCTCTTTGGGATATCACCTGGGTTTCAGCTTCGAGCACGCGCAGGCGTCGGCTGGCAGAGGACAGCAGGGTCTCAAGCTCTAGCTGCAGTGTGTCCAGTTCCTCAATGCCGATGCCATCGTCTTCGGAGCGGGCCAGCACTGCCGTGTAGCGGGGACAGACCTTCAGGTGGTCCACAGACTTGAAATCATGGAACTGCAACGGGCAGTCCTTCAACTCACTCATGGTCCAGGAGATGAGATCCTGTGGAGCTGGAGAGGGGAGGGCCATTGATGGGAGACAAAGTGGCATGAGAAACGCCCAAGGGCTTCTTCTATGGGGACCAGTCTCAACAAGGAAACCATATTGACAAGGTGGACGCCAAAGCTCCTACTCACAGAGCACCCACTGTGCACCAAGCTAAGGGCAGAGCTTATCTCACTGAATTCCTCACCCAACCCCTTGAGCGGGGGCCACCGTGATCTCCATTTTACAAAGAAGGAAACTGAGTCTCTGAAAGGATGGGCAAGCGCCTAGGCTTCCAAGATGCAATTTAAACTCAGGTGGTCTTGCCTGTACAGCCCTAAACACCAAGGTATTTGGTCTTGGCTCTATGTCTTTCCCTTCTGTTCGTTCGAGTTCTGGTGGGCCTTTAAGTTTCAAGTATCCCATCCTTACAAAGTTCTCTGTGCCTCCCAGCCTCTTGTCCCACCCCACTCCACCTTTCCAAAACCCTTCTTTTTGTCCGTAAGAGGTCTGGAACACAGGCTGGCCACTAGACAGAACTAGGTTCAAGTCCATTCGCTTCTTATGTGCCCTGAACATGTTATTTAACCTGAGTCTCGGTTTTTCCAAATGCAAATTAGGGACAAAAGATGTCTCAGTCTGTTTCCCCATAAAAAGTATGAATCTGTAAAATGGGGATAACAACAGTACCTACCTCCCTGGGACGTTCTGAGGATTAAGAGATGATGCTCGTCAAGAGCCCAGTTCAGTGCCTGGCACACAAGTGGGACTGCTTAATGGCTGGCCCCACCCGTGGGTCGCCTCAATGTCCCGCCTCCAGGGTCCCCGTCCTCTAGGGAGCCCTTAAATTAGCCCCAAGGCCTCCCACGGCCCGGGGCCGCAGGAGGGGGCGGGGAGTTCTGGTCGATCAGAGCAACCGCCCCGGAACTAGCTATGGGCGGGCCCCCGCAATTGACGCGGGGGCGGGGAGACGGCGAGCTCACTGTGGCCAGCGGGGGCCCGGGGTGCGGGCCGGGAGCGAGCCCAGTGAAGGCTGGGGTGACAGGCCTTAGGAGAAACCTAGGACTGGCCGGAGCTTAGGGGCGGGGCTCGGCAGCCGCGATCTCAGCGCGGCGGTTAGCCCCGCTGAGTCCCAGGGGCTGCAGGTAGGAGGGGCCGGGAGAAAGGACGGTGGTGCACAACCGGAAGGAACGTAGGGCTCCGCCGCCTCGGCTTGTCCTAATTTGGTGCTCAACTTAAGGTCAGGCTGTACTATTGCATGGCTGGGGAGAGGATGCGGCAAAGGCTACAAAACTCGAAGGCACGAGCGAGAGATACACGGACACCTGAAAAATCTCGAGTAGAAACATGCTACTTTAGGACTTAAAAATTACCAAAATAATCCTAGCATGAAAATTTCCTGGAGGGACAACGGTGCCTAGGCTCGCTCTCCCCTGTTCGAAACATAGATGGAACCGCCCGGAAGTCCGGGCGGAGACTGCGGCTGCGCTTCTGGCGAAAGGGCAGGAGTCGCGGGGCTGGACACTTCCGTACTTCCGCTTTCCGGCCCGGCCAGCGCCCGCGATGGTGAGAGAGCCGGGCCCCCGGCCGGGGACCCCTGTCTATTTTGCCTTGGGGGTGTGGGTTTCTAGGACGGGCGGCCTTCCCGGAGGCCGGGGGCCGAGGAGTGCCGAGGGATGTGGAGGCACCGTGATTGTTGGAGGAAGAGGGTGGGGCGAGGGCCGAAGTGAGAAGGAAGGGGCGAGCAGAGGGACTGGCCGGTAAGAGGCAAGCTTTCCAGGCAGGTTTAGCGTGGTCCTCAAGGGCGGAGGAAGCCGCAATTGGGGCATCCCAGGCTTGTGGGAGCGCCCGCGAAGGCACGTAGCAGGCCTCATAGCCCGTCGGAGGGCCGCTGAGGTATATAGTGGGGTCGCCTGCCCATCCAGCATAGAACTTCACTAAATACGCCCCTTGCCCTCTTCTGCCTTCTTGACCCCACAGATTCCGGAGCCAGGTGCCCACGTTTCCTTATCTTCTTGGTACCTCTAGCCTTGCTTCCATCCCCGTGAAGGCTCTCTTGTGTTGTCCCTCTCAGGCCCTTTCCTGGTCAGAACTAACCTGTGTTGACCTTACCGTACGAACGCTCTGATTCTGCTGGTTCTTCTCTTCCGGAGAATGGACCCCTTTGGTGTATGTGGGTGTTCCTGGGAGTTGTGTTTTTGGCTCAGTACCTTCTGCTTTCCTTGGTGCTTTCCTTGGTGATACCTCTCCAGCCTCCAGGCATTCTTCTATGGTTCGTTTCGCTGTTGTGAAGACACTTTGAAATTAGACCTCTTGTTTTGAAGGAAAAAAAAAACAAAAACCAAAACTCTATTTTCTTCTGTCTTCCTTATCTTAGTTGACTTGTGGTTTCATATCTCAGCTTGAAACCTGGGAGTTTCTTTTTGTCTGATTGAGGACATACCTTCTGAGTTTATTGAGCTATTTCGTTGAGACTCGTCTTATTTCCGAAAGGTCCCGCACCACAGGCTTGCCCACCTAGAATTCACGTTTGGGTTTACTGTCTCTGAATGTTGATGAAAACAACCAGGTCATCACTGCCACAATCAAGATACAGAATGTTCCATCACCCACAGACTTTTCTTAGGTTCCTTTGTAATTCATCCCCTCCACTTGAGAAAACTGCTGATGTTTTCCCATTTTAATTTTGTTCATCACCATATAAGTGGAATTCTTTGGTTTGTAGACTTATTTTTACATTGCTGAGGATCAAACGTAGGGTCTCATACGTGCTAGGCAAGCTTCCTACCACTGAGCTACGTGACTGGACTAGTTTGTTGGGGAGTTTTTGGTTTTTTGGTTTTTTTCCATTATCCTGTGCATTTAACATCAGCCTCTCCCCCCCCCCAAGCCCTTGTGATACTCCATATGTCCTCTTCACTGGTCCAGTCCGGGCTATCATCAGCATTTCTTTTTTCTTTTTTTGCAGTACTGAGGTTTGAACTCAGGGCCTACACCTTGAGCCACTCCACCAGCCCAATTTTTTGTGATAGGGTTTTTCGAGATAGGGTCTCATGAACTATTTGCCCAGGCTGGCTTTGAACTGCAATCCTCCTGATCTCTACCTTTTGAGTAGCTAGGATTACAGACGTGAGCCACCGGTACTCGGCTCACCAGCACTTCTTGAATAACTCTCTCTATTGTATGTGTCACTTCCCTCTCCAATCCATTCTCCAGAGAGCCATCACACAGCTGCAGTCATGTCACTTCCTCCTCAGAAAGCCCCAGCAGTTAGTTCTACATTAAAAGAAAACCTAACTGGTAGACCGGCTGTGAGATTCCCCAAGGTCTTCTCCCAACTTGCCGTTGCAGCCTCATTTATGCAATCTAAAATGCTTCACATATACAGAAACCTTGTACTCATTACTACTTCTGGAACTCAATGCCTTTTTGTTATTCTAGCCTTACTTAAGGTTATTACTTCACTTATTCATTTATTCTATGGTAAGTTAGTAAGACACTGTATATATTATTACTAAGCTAGTTGCTAGCTACTCAACTGTGAATAAAATAGACATGGTCTGGTGACCATAAGGTTTACAGTCTAGTGAAGGAGAATCACTTTACAAAAGACAAATGAGGAATGTGTCTTTGTAAATTACAATAAATGCAATGGGGGAAGTCAAGAAAGGCCTCTTTGAGAAGGAAGAGGCCTTCCCTGATATGCTAAGCTCTGAAGGACTGACTGAAGCAGAGAGAAAAAGGAAGCCTTCAGATAGATGGTTCATTAAGTGTAGAGTCCTGAAGTGAGAGAGAACTTGACTAATATAAGTGTAATATATCTGACTAGTGTAACTGAAGCTGGTCTTGTGTTCTGGGAGTATCCTTATTACTTTTTCTTGTAAAATCTTCCTGATCCTATTTCTAATCAAAACCAGTTTCTTCTGCCAATATAGATTACTTCTAATTATTTTATACTTCATCCTCCTCCCTTAGACTGTATATCCCCCAACCAGTTGAACTACTTCAGGAAAAAGATGAATTTCCACCTCACTCAGTTCCTGGCAAACAGTAGACCTCTATACATTTTTGACATAAAAGACAAGTGGAGGACGTTCACCTGTATGCATCTTAAACCAGTTAGTCACTCTTAGCACTGTTGTTGTTTAGGGCTTGATAATTCTTTGTTATGCATCATAGGATGTTTAGCAGTATGCCAGGCTTCTCCCAATTTCGTGAAAATCACAAATGTCTCAGTGTTGCTGTTCTGTTCGTTGTGGTGTCTGAGAGCTGGGAGTCCTCAGTACGGACTGGCTCCATGGGATTTGGAGCTAGGGACCTGTGGGTTTGGTGAGACAGATTCTAATCCTTCCTACCCCTTGGGTTTGTTCCTAGACTGCCACTCTCCGCCCCTACCTGAGTGCCGTGCGGGCCACGCTGCAGGCTGCCCTCTGCCTGGAGAACTTTTCCTCCCAGGTCGTGGAACGACACAACAAGCCGGAGGTGGAAGTCAGGTATGGAAGGAAAAGGTCAGAGTGGGGGATGAGGAATGTAACACACAGGGATTAACTGCTGTCTACAGGGTGCCGTGAACCTGTGTTGTAGAATCATCAGAGCAGCTTCAATTAACATAGTTTGTCTTGCTGCCAGATGAATGATGGTTCCCAATTTGGAATTAAGAAAATAGGGTCAGTGGGTTGGCAGGGCAAAACCCATGGGGAAGCTCCTTTGGACCAAAATTACTTGACACAAGTTAGGAATTCTTAGTACAGAAATATTCATGAAGTATCTCCTGTAGCATTATTGAACCCATTGACAGTTTAAAAACAAGTCAAAGAATTTATCTTTATTCTTTACTAATTTAAGAGTCAAAGTATTTTTTTCTTATCTTCCTGGACCCTCTTACACCAAATACTCCATATTTTGAGTGATCTAGTTTTCTTACTAATTTAAGAGTCAAAGTATTTTTTTCTTATCTTCCTGGACCCTCTTACACCAAATACTCCATATTTTGAGTGATCTAGTTTTCATTTCATAGATAAATTATTTTCCCCCTTTGAAATTTATTCTTCTGGTGTATGGGGGATTGAACTCGGCCTTCTTGTTGTTGCTAAGCAAGCTCTCTACTACTAGTTGCACCCCCCCCCCTTGAATTAATTCAGGGCCAGCTGCAATGGCACATGCCTGAGGTAGCTGGGGGACTGAGGCAGAAAGATTACAGTTTTTTTTTGGTTTTCTTTTTTGTTGCTTTGGGTTTTTTTGGTGCTGTAGATTGAACTCAGGGTCTCAGCATGCTAGACAAGTACTGTATCACTGAGCACACTCCCAGCTGTTAGAAATGTGCTGTGTTGTGCTACTTAATATATGTGCTTTCTACTAGCCATTTTAAAATGGTAACAGCTCAGACCACCACAGTTAAGAACCTTGACAAATAACCTAGATATTCAGACGCATTAGCTTAGAACCTGACCTGATGGGGTGTCAGTGGTAAATAAATGCATCATTCTAGATAGAAATTAATGGAGACCAAAAAGCCCTGGGGGTCAACCTTCAGAAAAAAAAAAAGGAAAAGAAAGACATTAAAGGACAGACTGGTGAAGTGGCTCAAGTGGTAGAGTGCTTGTCTAGGAAGTGAGAGGCCCTAAGTTCAAACTCTGATACTGCCCAAAAACAAGTGTCCAAACTGTGTCTAATTTTAGCCTCTCCTTATCCCTAAGGCAGGTGTTGTCCTTCTTCCCTAAATGGTAGTATATTGGTATGCCTGTAGTTACTAAGACCAGCTGTTTTTGTAGAGCTCTTGTGATGTGCCAGACATATTATTAGTCACTTGACCCTTCTTGATCTCTCTCAGTGCTCGCCCATAAAATAGGATTCAGAGTCATTTCACAGATGAGGAATTTGAGATTTCAACAGGGTAACTTGCCCAAGGAATGTAACAGAGGAGGTTGGATTTCAAAACCTTTTCATCCTGACTGCAGAGCCTGTGCTCTTTCTGCTGGAGAACACATTCCCTGGCCTCCATCTTGGAGCACCTGTGCTTCTGAGTCTTCTATTCCTAGACTCTGGTCTCAGATAGTGATTCCAGAACCTACTCTGGGTCACTATGACAATTTTGTTCCTCTATGGTACAGAGACCTCTGTGACTTTATTTTCAGGAGTAGCAAAGAGCTCCTATTACAACCCGTTACCATCAGCAGGAATGAGAAGGAAAAGGTTCTGATTGAGGGCTCCATCAATTCTGTCCGGGTCAGCATTGCTGTGAAACAGGTGAGTCACCATGAAGAAGGCCCAAAGTTACAAGCTGTCTTCTTAGCCAGTGGTCCACAGCTGAGAAATCAGAGTGCCTGGTTCAGGGTATAGGAAACTTAGGACATGCTTCCTGAAATGTTCTCTGGAGTCGATTTGACAAAGCAGGTAGAGTCAGGTGCCTGTAATCCTAGCAGGAGGCTGAAGCAGGAAGATTGCAAGTTCGAGGCCAGCCTAATGTACATAGTGAGACCCTATTTCAAAAAGAAAAACAAAGCAGTTCAGTAGAATGAAAAGATGTTAACCTTTTTTCATAGGCCTTGCTCTAGAGTTGAAGACAGGAAATGTAGTAGGCAAGAACACGGGGCCAGTTTGGTGTCAGGTCAAAAACCATTTCTACAGAATGAGGAGGAATATATTCACTTCAGGAAAATAAGTAGTACTAGAACCAATTTGATACCTATAGTTTGAAACTGCCACTTTAAAAACAACAAATTGCCATTTCTTTCATGTTTCCCCAGGCAGTGATTCACAAATGTCTGTCATTCCTACCACCCCTTAATTCTTGTCATTTTGTACCACTTGGATGTTATTTACGTAATAAATTTTTTTTAAATTGCCTTATTTCTTTTCACTTTAATTTGAAAAGATACTTTATACCATAAATGGGAAAACAGTATCACTTGCCACAATGGAGGGCAACTCTGAAAATAAATGCAATAAAGACAAAACGTTCTTACTTAATTCAGAAAGCTCCAGCCCTGAGGCCTGCTGTCCTTGTTAAGATGGAAGATGTGCCAGTGTTGGGAGGTATTAAGGGCGTTCTAGTACTCTGCTGCAGAGTTCTTTTACAAATATTGAAAGAGGTTTTTTTTTTTAAAAAAAAAAAAAAAAAGAAACTTTGTGGATTGTTTAATTTCCAGTGTTGTTAAGGCAGAGACTTCCTAGATTGTGGCACAAGTGGGATATGCTGCACACTTTGAGAAGGGCAGCACTAGTGAAATGAGAAAGGGAAAGGCAGTTTTGAATATAGGTGTAGACTCTGAAAGAGCTGATAAAAGACTGATTTCTCAGAAATACCTCTTGGGAATGAGACTGCCTCATTAAGTTAGAGAGGCTCTAAAGTAGATCTGCTTTCAGTTGACAACCAAGTCCCCACAATTCACCAGGCAGTGATTGCTCCTAGTACCAACCCGACTGCCTCTACTGAGCCTGGGGTGGGGAGTGGGGGGAACAAGGTCAAAAGACCAGGCTGCAGGGTGTTTTTGGCTTAGGGATGTCTGTTCATTGCGCCATCTTTCCCCTTTGCTCTCACCAGGCTGATGAGATCGAGAAGATTTTATGCCATAAATTCATGCGTTTTATGATGATGCGAGCAGAGAACTTCTTTATCCTTCGAAGGAAACCAGTGGAGGTAAGACCCTGTGGATCCACTATGATAATTTCTAGGATTATCACTGAGAGGCCTGGAATTGTTTCTTGAACCAGGATTGCTTCTTCTGTAGCTGTAGGACACCCATTGCCTGCATTGAGTCAACTTTCCTGTCAGCTAGACTGGTAGCAAGGAAGATTAGAAATTTAAGAAAAGCTGGGTCTATGCATTTATCATCTTCCCAGAGCCTAGGAACTAGCAACAGAAAATGCATAATGAGTTAGAAATTCTTCTTGAGCTCTGCCACCAACTGAATCCTCTGCAAACTCCCTGCCATGTCAACTTAAAATATTCCCAGTAACTGAGCAACTCCTACACAGAGCAGCTCAAGCCATCATCAGACACACCAGACATGTTGGCAGTTTTGAATATAGGTGTGGCTGTATTCAAATTTGGCTCACCTTGAGCCAAATTCTCTCTTCTGGTCCTAGATCTAACATCTGGGGCCACCTGGAATAAATAATAAAGTCATGCTCTTCATCACACAACTTTCCATAGTTAAGGACCCTGATACCATTCCCTCCCCCACATCATCTTTGTTCCTTATTGTTTGAATTCTCGTGTAACAAGATTCCAAATCCCTTCGTTCTCCCTTGACTCTGTGCCACATTTAGTCTTCCAGAAACAACTGATTTCTCAACTGGGTTCAGTTGCTTGGGTCCAACATTGATCTTCCCTTCTCTCCACCTTTGCCAGAGTAAGTGGGCTGCTGACTGAAGGGCATGCAGCTTTGGAGAAAATTGCAGCAACCTGGAAGCATGTTGAAAGTGAAGTAGAAGATGTGGCCAGCCAAGTGTTCCCAGGGTTAATTCTCTCCTGTTTCTTCTCCCACCTCCCCGTTGTCTTCCTTCCCTAGGGCTATGACATCAGCTTTCTTATCACCAACTTCCACACGGAGCAGATGTACAAACACAAGTTGGTGGACTTTGTGATCCACTTCATGGAGGAGATCGACAAGGAGATCAGTGAGATGAAGCTGTCAGTCAATGCCCGTGCACGCATAGTGGCTGAGGAGTTCCTCAAGAATGTAAGTGGGGTCTTTCCTGTCTTCCTGCCAGAGGTGGAAGAAGCTGTAGGTTATATGTAGAAGCTAACATCCAGTGGGAAAGTGGTGCCAACAGTATGTTCATATTTCCTGAGGTTTGTAGGACCTCTGGTCAGCCAGCTGCTTTGAAGCTACAAAGCCCAAGGTTTCATCACTGCAGGGCATCTTCTGTTTCTGGGATGCCTCTTAGTCTCTAGGGGAATTAGACATTAATTTTTACATCTTAAAATGTCTACAAAGTCCTTATCTATTACAGTTCAAGCCCCAAGTGCAACATGAATTTTCTGGGAACATAGAACAGATAATCATTTTGTAATTCCACTTCTCAAACAGACTTTAAATATTTTTCTTCAGCGTCTGTTTCTCAGACTTAAAGTCATGATTTCTTTAACCTGTTTCCCATCACTTTCATGGCTTAAGACTTTCAAGCCCCAAGTGCAACATGAATTTTCTGGGAACATAGAACAATAATTCATTGTTTTAATTCCACTCTTCAAACAACTTTAAAAGATTTTCGTTCACGCTGTTTCTAGACTTAAATCATGATTTCTTTAACTGGTTTCCCATCACTTCAGGCTTAAACTTTCAATCCCTCTTAAAATTGTTTAATTCCTGGCTAAACTTTGAAAGACTCGTCCTCTGAAGGGGAGAAGTTACATAGGGACTGATGACATAGTTGTTCTTGTTTAGATATTCAAGACATGCTATCTTAGTTTTTTTCTCTTCTTTCAAACAATCTTTGGTCTGTTGATATGTTACACTTGGAGTTGACTGTGATCCCTAGATGGTAGGTTTAGTGTTTACATCTACCAGTACATACAGACCAAGCCCAGAGGATCTCCGATTCCTAAAAATGGAAATTGTACTCGCTTCCCCTGGGGTTTAATTATGCTGAGAGTGGCCAGGACTCAGAGGCGCTGCACTGTGTGCACGAAGTTGTTTGTCATATCACCTGGTTATCTGTCTGACTCCTCGACCTACTCAGTCATATCCCTGCCAGCTCAACAAAGTGGCAGTTTGCTCACTGGGAAAAACAAGATGTGTTAATAAATTACCTCTTCAGGTGTGAACAGTAAGTGATTTCACAGATCAGAAACATAGTACCTGGTACAAACTAAGCTACCCAAGTACAGTGGCACCAAAATTTTATGGCCAGGGCACTAGGAATTTTCTAGATTCAGCTGTGAAGAAAATATATCTCTTGTCTCAGTTTGATATTTGGCTTTCTTGGTGAGTGCCGGTGGCTCACGCCTGTAATCCTGGCTACTCAGGAGGCAGAGATCAGGAGAATCGAGGTTAAAAGCCAGCCCAGGCAAATAGTTCAGGAGACCCTATCTCGAAAAAAAAATCCCTATCACAAAAAAAGGCTGGTGGAGTGGCACAAGGTGTAGGCCCCAGTACAGCAAACAAAAACAAAAAAAGATGAATTGGTTCTGTCATTCAGGAGTCACTTAATTTATAATTACATTTTAATAGCGTTAATACCATTTAAAAAGCACGTTTAGAATTCTCATTTATTACTCCAAACAGAATTTTTATATTCTCATGCCTTGAGCATGTAATAAACTTTATGTGTTCTTTTGCCCGCTTTTTTTTTTTTTTTTTTTTTTTTTTTTTAAAGACAAAAAAGAAAACTTAAAACAGTCTATGAGTCAGGTGCTGCCACTATTTCATAGAAAGTAAACCGAAGCTCTGGAAGTGAAGTCACCTGCCCAGAATCCTTCATCCAGTAAGTGGAGGAAGTAGGCCATGGAGCTAGGTTTTCTGACTGAAGGATCTAATATAGCAGCAGAGCATCTGACAGGGTACAAAGCCAGGTGCATGCACAGGTCAGGCGGGTCGCACACGTAGGTGAGGTGGAGTGGGTAAGCTCACACCTTATCTGAAGAGGATTGCCACCACAGAGCTCTAAAGCTGCAGCCCATTGTGGTTTCATCTTTCAACTTTTCAAAAGAACTCCCAAATCCAGATTTGTAAGTGGCACCTCTCGTGTTTTCAGGTTGGCGACTAATTCTTCATCTTTGTACCCCATGTGGACCAGTCTTTGGGTGGTACTTAGTTGTTAGCCACTGGTCACAGCCTCTGGTTATAAAGTGTTGATGTTCTTGAAGGGCACCATGTGTGACAGTTGAGGGCAGAAAGATTTCTAAGGCCTGTCCTGGTTGGAGATCACCCAGAGTGTGACACATGGTACCAGATTCTAAGTCCTTGTCCCCTTGGCTAGCTCACATACAAGTGAGCTTGTATGTGAGTCCCCATGTCTGAAGAAGGCAGCTTCAGTTCACCAAACAACATACTGTCAGGGGATCTGTGAAGAAGCCCTCAACACTTAATTTTTCTGCCTTGCCTAGTGGTAGGATCAGGACCAGTGCCCCACATGTCACTGCTGAAGTCTGGCTGAGTTTAAGAGCGTGCCCATATCTAGAACCCAACCCTACCCCTTAGATGTGAGCACAATGGCAGCTGTCAGGTCAATCCACCTCCCTGGAATAGGCCACCAGGATACAGTAATAACCATCATTCCCTGCCTCTTGTTTCTCTTTGACAGTTTTAAACCATCTGGCTGGATCTTGTGGCCTTCCCCCTCAGCCTCCCCTGTGTGTGTCTCTGCGAAGGCGTCCTGGAGTCACTTCCCAGAGCGGCGGCGGCAGCAGCAGGGAACTGGGTTGGGTGGGCACTAGATGCGGGAGGGGGGTGGTGTGCTTGCTAGCTGGGCAAGAAAGCAGCAGTGGACCTTCCCCAAGGCCACACGTGCCTGGTCAGGCTGGCTTCTGATGTTCAGTCCCCTGGGCCGGGACAGATTTTTTTTAATGTCCTGAAACTTAAACTCTGTGCTTGTAGGAGACTGTAACCTTTTTGTCTTTTTTTTTTTTTTTTTTTTTTTAAAAACAAATAACCTCCACCTCCAGTGGCTGTGACTGGTCCCAGTGATTGTACGTTATTGGTCGCTGTGGGTCTGGGCGGGCCTGGAGCCAGAAGGCGACTATTTTTTTCTCCCCCACGCCACCCTAGGTGGGGAGAGAGGGAGGCTTCAGACTCTAGTTTCTCTCCCTTGCTCTTTTATTCCCAAGCCTCCTTGGGCCTAGTAGAAGGACCCTCTGCCAGTTCCTGAGCTCTGCCTGGAGATGGCCACCCAGCACTGGTTGGGGACAAGGGCTGAATCCATGATTACCAGCCATGCCTAGGAGCTGGGGCCCCAAATCCAGGCAACTTCTGGCTGCAGGGACCATTTGGTGCCCTCCACAGCTGAGAGGCACCACTATCTCGCCTTTTCTGTCAGTGCAGTGCCTGTGTGCTAGAGTTGGAGAGGTGAGTCCTCCAGAGCTTCCTGGCCGGTTTTCCCGCCTACTCTGGCTCCTCTGCTCCCGTGCTCGCTGTCTCTTTTCTGATTCGGTGGATCCTCCCTCCCCTAATTAAAGTCTCTTCCTGCCCCTTTGGGGCTGCATGAGGTCTGTGCTCTGTGTGTGTATGTGAAGAGAAGGGATGTGGGGGCCATGGGGCTATTCCTGGGGCCTGCAGTTCCCTAATAGACACAGTCTAGTGATTGATCCCATTGTTACCCTTTCCAAGGGCCCCAACTCAGAAACCTCCTTCACTGCAGTCTAAGTACTATCCATTTCTGAAAATGTCCTGCCTGTACAAAGCATAATCATCTCTCCTTTGGGCCAGAAGACAAACAATGATTCCTTTTTGAGGATAGAGGAAACAGGTTCCACAAGATGTAGTAGCTAGCTCCACATCTCCCTGCTTATGAGCAAGAACGTAAGCCTTTTCCTTGTGCTGAAACAGTAATCGCTATCTACATGTGGCTACTTAACTTATTACAAGTAAGTAAAGTTTAAAATCTGGTTCTTCAGTCTACTGGTGACATTTCAAGTGTTCACTAACTATAAGTAACTAGGACCTATCATATCAGGCAATGTTGAGAATTAACAGGATAGTGCTAGGCCTTCTCTAATATTTGGGAGTAAACAAGTTGTATTCTGTGCTTCATTTTCTTAATTTGTAAAGTGGAGGTAATGTGAACTATATGACAGTCCCTTGCCACACAAGCACTGAATGTGTAGTTCTACTAGTGCGGTATGTGGAATGTTTATCTTCCAATGTGCTAGGCATTAGTGATGATATCCATCCCTGCTGTGAGAAAACCTGGAACCAGTAAGAGAGCCAAGTGTGTAAATAGTTGCATTGGTGTATCTCATTCACTGTGGAAGTTTGGGAGCCAGGAGGGGCATATTTACAGAAGAGGAGATACCATGAAAAGCCTCAGAAAGGATTGGCCTGTGAGCCAAGCTGTACGGTTTCCTCCATATGGCCAAAATGAGAATCTTTTTTTGAAGAGAATAAGGAAATATTAAAGGAAGAAGGGGCTGGGGGTGGGGGCAAGTTGAATAGCTATTATCCCCTTTATGACACTATCTCTGTGACCTACCTTGCTGAATTAGCTGTGCCCTCCTCTGGGGCACATGGCTATGTTCTAGCTTTGCAGTGGCCTTTAGAGGTGCTCACAGTAAAGCTGGATGACTTGAAGGTATGGCAGCTGGTCACTCAACCCTTATAGGACAGCCTTGCCTGGGTGAGCCAGCCAGAACCCTTTGTCACAGATTTCTTTCCCAGAGTCTGAAAGTCCCTAAAACCAGATTTTCAAACAGAACCAAGAGGGCGGCTGCCCATTAACCAGTCCTCTCCTGGGAATATGCTTTTTGGGAAGTACAATTCCCAGCCAAATGGGGTGGGAAAGGTAATCTCAGGTTGGAGTTAGCTAGACCAGTGCTTGGGGACCCACTCCAATGTAAGAGCAGATCTGCCTGGTGACTAAGCTGGGTTCTTAGACCAGGATACTTTCTTCTCTGAATTCTGCTTGAATGGGCATGTCTAGAGTCTTCTCAAACTACTACTGTTTGGTGCTTCTATGACCGACAGGCAAGCCCCCAAGTGATAACAACTATGATGAGTGTTTAAGAGTGAGTCTTCTGAGATCTGTGTTTAGGTGCTGGTTGTGATGTGAGGCAAATTACTTGTTTTGGAGCCTTATTTCCCCTGTGACTTTTTAGGATGGTGTTTTGCCACTGCCTCTAAAATGATAATTTAATGGTCTTGGCCTGGGGGCTGGAGCATAACTTCTGATACATTTCTTCTGCAAGTGGCTAAAATGATGATCTGTTTTTCCAAGTCACTGAGAGGGGGAGTGTACTTTGCACATTCTCACTATTGCGCCCATAAGCAGCCTGGGCTTTCATATTTATCCCTAGAGACCTTACTGTCTCCATCTGCTCTGGCTTCCCCCCGCCCCCCCAGGGCTGTCACTCAGACTTCCCTCTGCCTGGAATGCCATTTGCTGTTCCCTTAGTGCCTCCTGACTCCTTACATTTAAACCTTCCACATAAATGTCAGCCCTTCAGAGGACATCCTTGACTGCCTCCTTTTGCGTGGCCCTTCCCAGTTTCAGGTCACTGCTTGTTTACTTCCTTTATACCAGTAGCTATTTTATTTCTGTTGCTTGTTTCCCTACATTGGGAGACAAGTGACTCCGTGAGGTCAGGGACCACTTAAAAGCTTCTAGCCCAGACCCTAGATGGTGGAATGAGCCAAGTCCTGGGGCCTTTGCACAGTGGAACAGCTGGATAAGGAACCAAGACTCTGGGACTAATACTGATTGCAGGGCCAGTGTTCCCCTTCTCCGCCCTTAATGCCCGGCTCTTCAAGGGTGTGTAGAAAGGCCCAGAGTCTGGCTCCCTGTGGAAGCCCATGCTCCACTAACCCAGGACCTGTGACAGCTCCGGAACTCCCCACCCACCATCCGATTGTGCCCGGGGAATGGTTGCCCAGGTGACATCAAACAGAGGGCGGGGCCAGGGAGCGAAGGGCGCAGCTTCGAGCAGGCGCGCAGAGGGGAGGCGGGCTCCTGGACGTTGGGAGGGCGCGCGCGGCGTGGGGCGCATGCAGGGCCCGGGCGCCACGCTATGCCAGAACACTCGGGAAGTGGGGCTCGCGCGCCAGGGCTCGGCCGCCTGCTACCACCGGGAGGGCGGTCCAAGTTGCCACTGGCTGCGGAAGCCACAGCTGCCACAGCTGCGCACCAGTTCTCCCGCCCCATGGCCTTGGGTGCGCAATGCCGAGTTGCCGAGGCCCGCCTGCGCCAGGCCCGAGAGGGTTCACACTGGCTGCAAACGCTGGACCCGCAGTCCCGCCTCTGCGTGTCTACCCGAGATGCTCGCCCAAGCCCAGAGCGCTGCGGATCCCCACTCCCTCGATCCCCTGCACATCCAGGCGCTGGATGATCCCCCGCTACCGCAGGACGGTGAGGCCCAGGGCGGTCTGCCAGTCTTGGCCCGTGGTGTCTGCGGTGACAAGACCTGGGAGCGGCAGAGGGTGGGCGTTCAGATGAAGAGGAAAAAAAAGGAGCTGGAAAAGCCCTGGGCTCAGCCTCTAGCATACCCCGTCCTTGCTCCATCACGTCTCTCTTCAGGTTCCCTTGTCCTCTGGCGAGGATTCTCCAAGACATCTCACATGGGCCGGCTCAGAAACGCCAAAATCCACGTGGAGAGAGCTATCAAGGTCGGAGGGGATTTGGAGTGGGAGCTTAGAAAGGACCCTGGGAAGGTTCTGCCTGTCCCAACGGACTATTTTCTCACATCCTTAAAAAACAAAAAACCCTCCACCCCACACTAAGTTTCGAGTACCTTCGCATTTTCACTCCCCCTTCAAAGTTCTGAATTCACTCCTCTCCCCTCCTATCCCATTCCTGTCAGACACCACTCTCATCCAGGTCTCTGGTGACCTCCAAGAAGCCAAGTCCAGCAGCCCTTTTCTTTGCTTCCCTCGCCGTTGTGTGTCACTCTGCACAACTGCTCCATGCACCTTCCCTCCTGATTTTCCTGGAGGGAGCTCCGTGGCTGCTGCTTTTCAGTTGCCTTTGAAGGTGCCTCAGAAACTAGTTGATCCCAGGGTCCCTCCTCATACCTGCCTGTCTCCTTGGACTTGTGAATCCAGTCAGTGTGCTGCATTTGCTGCATGCCCAAGGAGATCCAGCCCTCTTAACCCAACATCTCCTCCCAGAGGGCTCATAAGCATTTCATACTCATGTCCCAGTACTCTTGATTTTCCTGTCCAAACCTGTCCTCCTCACCTTTGGTCTTTTTCATCTCTCAGTTACTCAAGCTAGAATCTGATCTTTCTGTTCCTTCATCTCCACATGTAATCCCATTAGCAAAATCATCTCTGCCTCCAAAATCAATCCCAACCCTGGTGCTTTCTCCCTATCTCCACTTCGTGCTAGCTATTGTGATTACTATCCTAGAGGAACCACAACAGCCTCCTAACTGGTCTGCCACCATGCCTGTCCCCTGCCATCTATTCTCCCTGCAGCAGCAACCCAGACTTAAAAAGTCTCCAACTGCAGACTCCCTCCCTTAGCGTTCATTGCTTTATGCTACTCACAGTATAAAATCCAAGACCAAGTTTCAGTGCCCTCTGCAGTCCAGCCACACTGCCTACCTCCTTGGGAGCTCTCCTCACTCTCCAGACTCCACTCACCCTGGCCTCCTGTCAGTTCCTTCTGATCTCTGTCTTAAGTCTCTGAAGCTTTGCATGTGCTATTCCCTCTGCCAGTTTAAACTACCATTTGTTCAGCTGTGTTCATGACTCCTTTTCAACCTTCCTTAACCATGTATTTCTATGTAGTTTTTCTGGGTCTCCGTATGCAGTTCCTAGAATCAGCCTGCCTAGATTTAAACCCCTGCTCTTGGGGCTGGGGTATAGCTCAGTGGTAAGAGTGTGTGCTTAGCATGTGAAAGGCCCTCCAGCACTAAAAAAGAAGAGATCCCCCTGCTCTTGACTACTTAACTTCTTTGTGCCTTTGTTTCATAACTAGTAAGACAGGGATAGCTATCTAATAAAATGCAGGTGGTTAGAAATGCATGTAAGTACTTGCCACATAGTGTATATTCAAATATTAGCTACTACCATCAACATTGTTGCTATGCATATTTACTACTTTCCATGTTTATAAACTGTCTCTCCTACTAGGATATAAAAGTTCCCTGAAGGCACAGACTGTAACTGTCTGGGTCACTGTTCTATCCTCTATGCCTGACATTTAGACAGTACTTATTGAACCAGTCCCATCTCTCACTTTATAGCAGAAGAAGATCTTTATGATTCAAGGCCGTTACCCGGTAATCCGGTGTCTCTTGCGCCGGAGGGGCTGGGTGGAGAAAAAGATGGTCCATCACACAGGCACCATCATTCCTCTACCTAAGAAGGACCTGGATAGTTCAACAATGGGTGACAGTGACACCACAGAGGATGGTGAGCAGGTCTCTCACTTTTCACAAACTACCCCTCCTGAGTCCTTTTCCTGTGGTTCCCACTGACCCCAGGGGTTAGCCCTATAGGCTTGTTGTGCTTTGACAGGGTCTTGGGGTCTTATCAGGCCTGGACTCTCATCCACAGAGGATGAAGAAGAGAATGAGGAGTTCCAGCTGCCACAGCTGCTTGACTTGGATGGATTTCTGGAATTTGATGACCTAGATGGAACTCATGCTTTGATGGTGAGGGCACTGGGGGCCCAGATGAAGGAGGCAGCTGGCTGGAGGCTACCTAGAGGGAGGGAGAGCACTGGTGTCCAGCTGGATACCTCAGACAAGTCCTCTGGTCCTCAGTTTTCCCATCTGTATAAAAACATTGCTTCTATAAAAGCTGGATAGACCCACAGAGTGGAGAGGACTCGGGCTCAGACAAGGCTGGTGCATTCTCTATGTGTGGTGATTCCCCTTCCAAGTAAAAACTCCTTCATTCATCTCCTTCCTCCACCTTGGCAAATGAGAGCTTGAAGGAAGGGCTTAAAAAGCTCCAGAGAGGCTGGTGTGATGGTGTGGAGAATGTGAGTTGAGGTAAGGACACTTGGATTCTGAGCTTTGCACCACTGGACTAAATTGAACTATGTGAAATTTCTTTCCTTCCTCCTTCCCTCCCACCCCCTCCCTCCCTTCCAACAAGGTCTTGCTATGTAATGTAACCTCAAACCCCTATTACATTTCTTTTTTTTTGGAAGCACTGGGTGCCCTACCACTTGAGCCACTCTGTCAGTCCCTCTTTTTGGGTTGGGTATTTTTTGAGATAGGGTCCCATTCTCTTCCCCTCCCCTCAGCCCGGGCTTGGGGTTGAACCACAATCTTCCTGGTCTCTGCCTAGCAAGCTCAAGGCTCTGAGTTCAATCCTCAGTATTGAAGAGAGAGAGAGAGAGAGGGAGAAAAGAAACAAAAATTGCTATTTATGTCAGAAAAGGTTGTATACTAGCAATTTCATGTGGTTGCACTCCGTGAGCCCATGGGCAGGTCATATACCTTCCTTGTGCTTCAGTTCTGTCATCTGTGAAATGGGGATTGCAGTAACCCTTAGCTCATAGGGTTTGGGTGAGAATTAAATGAACTGACATGAAAAGCACTTAGAACAGAGCCTGAACTGGGGTTGGTGGTGCACACCTCTGATCTCAGCACTCAGGAGACTAAGGCAGGAGAATCATGAAGTCAAGGTCAGCCTGGGCTACATAGTGAGAACTTGCCTCAAATAAAGAAAGAAGCAAATAGGGCCTGGCACATAGTATTATTGTTATTAATAATCCTTACTCCTAAAGTAATAGGATGGATGGTGAGGTAGGACCCATGAGAGAGCCTTTGTGTGCCCATCAACTTGGAGTCACTGCCCTGCCACTGAGCAAGTCACTGATGGCCACATGCCAGAGTGCGGCATTCTGTTGTACAGCTTAGTCTCTGCTTCGGGACACTCAACCAGAGGGAGGCTGAAAAGTTGGCCTGTTCTCTGTTTACCAACCATGTGCTCTGGGGGAGGAGATATCTTATCCTGCCCTACACAAAGATGGTGTGTGGGCCAGAGGACACCTTAGGAGCATCCTCTCCTTCCTGCTCAGCAGGGCAGGAAGAAGCTGCCCATGTTATCCTGTCTCCCTCTCCTCTCCTCCCTAGTCCCGCATGGTTCGGAATGAGATTCCCTACCTCATCTGGACCACACGGCGCGATGTGCCGGACTGTCGCTTCCTCTCCAAGGATCAGATGATAAACCACTATGCCCGGGCTGGCTCCTTTACCACAAAGGTGGGCTCCCCAGGGAAGTGGGCAGAGCAGCTTCCAACCCCAACTCTTGGGCTGGCAGTCCTACTCCTTGCTCTCCTTGTCAGTAAGAGAGAGTTCCCAGGAGAGCAGGAGATGATTAGTGCAGTGATACTTGGAATCAGACAGACTTGAGTTCAAATCTAACCCTGCACAATATCTGTTGTGAGGAGACATAATGACTAAATGGGCTCTGGGATTCAAATGGGATCTGTAACCAGAAAAAACAAAACAAAACACTACCAAATCAAGTGACTATATGCAGAGCATATCTGCCTAATGGTTTCCTTCTGTTTTACTTGACTTTCTTTGCAAGTTTTTGGCTTCTTGGAGCCTCAGTTTTCTCATCTTTAAATGAGAATATGAATAATGACTGTTTTCTAAGATTGTGACAAGAATGAAGGGCCTTATAATTGCGGTCTGCCATTATTGGTGTGGGCCTGGAAGGACTCCTGGAGGAGGCAGATGTGAGAGGGTGGGTAGTGGGATATGGGGCGTTTGCCAAAGAGGGACCACTTGGCAAACATAGGAATAGATATGATCAAGGCAGGCTGTCAAAGCATCGATTCAGGGTCTTCCTATCTGGACATGTGCTGCATGTGGGGAGCCCCTTAGAGCTCTCTGGGAAAGTCCCACCCTGCCCCTTCAGCAGCTAACTCCATAGGTGGGACTGTGTCTCAACCTCCGGAATTTGCCATGGTTTGATGAGGCTGATGCCGACTCCTTCTTCCCACGCTGCTACCGCCTGGGGGCTGAGGATGAGAAAAAAGCCTTCATAGGTAAGGAGCCCCCAGCCCCATGCCTGGATCTCCCAGAGAAAAGGACCAGGGCTAAAGCTCTGGCCTATACTGGAGAGAACAGGCCTCTACTTTTGCCCTCATCTACCCAGCAGCTTTCTTTCCTATCCCCTTTCCTGTCCTTCAAATGCCCTCCCTTAATGAGCCTTCCAGCTTGCCATTCCTGACTTCCAGAAAAAGTTAGGGAGCCTAGCTCATATTCTTAGAGCAGGTTCTAAAAGTTGACTTGGTTCAGTTTGGAATCCAGATGCGTTCCATTGGCTGCACTGGGTTCCAAAAAAGGCAGCTGTGAGTTCCTAAAGTAGAATAGGTTCCAACTCCAGAATGTGTCAGAGTTCTAAATTCAGGTCAGAATTTGGATCCAGATTAGATGCTAGGTTTTAAATTATATTCCAAATCTGAAATAGTTCTCGGGCAAGGTCTAGTTTGTAGGCTATTCTAGCCTAAGCACCATCAAAAGCTTAAGAACCATCAAAAAGCCTAGAACTTCATCAAAAGTGAATGAGGCTGGTGGGTGGCTCAAGCAGTAGAGCACCTGCCTAGTAAGTGTGAAGCCCTGAGTTCAAACCCCAGTAGTGCCAAAAAAAAAAGTAGATGAGGAATAGAAGAAAGAGGTGAGAAGACAGGTCCAAGGCCAGACTCTAAGGACGAGTGTGCGCTGACTCTGGCTACATTCTGGGTCTGATTCTACAGTAGCGATAGGAGCCAGGTTCTAGAATCAGAAAAGGTAGATTAAGGTTCCGGATCCAAATGGGGCAAGTCATGATCAGGTTGCGGAACCAGGACAGGCCTCTAGCCTAGGGGCTGAGCAGGGTATCCCCTGCCTCGGGAGAAGAGGACTTTTGGCTGACAGCTGCCCGCAACGTTCTCAAACTGGTGGTGAAGTCTGAGTGGAAGTCATACTCTATCCAGGCAGAGGAAGAAGAGGCCCCAGGTGAGTGCTGTGATTACTTCAACTTCCCACCCATTCTCCTCCCATCCATTCACCCAGCTATTCTATCACACTTATATATAACCCACATCCATATGACCAGCCAGCACCTCTTCCCACCACCCTGTCCATATATCTGTCTACTCATCTGTTCATCCATCTGTTCCAATCTACCTACCTGCCTACTCACTGATCTACCCATTCACACACTCATTCATCCATCCATCCACCCATCCATCTACTGTTGACCTCCTCATTCACCTACCTGCCATCAGGTCCACAGTGTCCATCTGTGCACTCTCGCCTTTCTATTTTTCCTTCCACAAATCCATCTATCCATATTTCCACCTACTTTTCCATCCTGTCTACCCTCCAGTCCACTCACTCATCCATTCTTCTGTCTCAGTCACCCACACACTTATCTTCCTTTCCATTTTTTAATTGATCAACCCTCACATGGGCCTGGCAGGTGAATGATCATCCTGGAGAGGGAAAATTAAGTAGACATGGTCCATCCCTTTTATGGGAGTGAGCTCAGGTCTCTATGAAGGAGGAAGCAGTGAAACCTGGCAGCTTACAGGTGGCCTGAGGATCCCTTGTACCTAAACATAAGGAACATTGAGAGTGGAGGGGACCCAGGAACCCTCTGTATTTGGGTGCAATCCATTGCTTGCCCTTCCCCTCTCTAGATTTAGCTCCTAAACTAGCCCTGTAATCCAGGAGCTCCTCAGCCAGGGGAATTGTGGAAAGGAAGAGACAGCTTTATTGGAAGGAGGAAAATCCCTGCCTTTTCCAGAGGAGGGCTCCCCATTGCTGTCTCCTGGCCTGTGTGTGTCAAGTATAAGGAAGTCTTTTGTGTGCTAGGATTCAGGGGCATCGGGCCCTGTATGGCCAGGGGCCCTGCAATCAAGCTTCCGTGGTGGTGGGTTTGGGGGGAGGGTTAGGCTGCAGGGGGCTTAGGATCTCATATGTAGTTTTTTTTGTTTGTTTTTTTGGTGGGGTTTTTTTGGTGGGACTGGAGTTTCAACTCAGGGCTTCATGCTTAAAAAGCAGGTGCTCTATCACTTGAGCCACAACTCCAGTCTATTTTGCTCTGGCTATTTTGGAGTTGGGGTGTCACAAACTTTGCCCATTCTGGCCTCAGCTGTGGCTCTCGTGATCTCAACCTCCCAGTTAGGATTACAGGCATGTCCACCCACCATACGTAAAGTTTTTGTAGCATTGCATATGTGCAGGGGTGAGTCAGGGCTGGAGGTGTGCCTGAGGATCTTTGAGGGGTCAGTTTCTTGTCTAGAACTTTCGGGTGTGTTGGGCCTCTGCATACTGGCATTAGACATGGAGGTCAGTGCTTTGTGGCTTAAGGATTGTGGGGTGAGTCTGGATTTCCTGTGTGGGTTGGGACTTTTAGAAACCCTATCAGATTTTGTTTTATGTATGTCTGGGTTCACCTAGGCCAGGGTTTTCAGGTGCATTGTGGTCAAGAGAGGTCCCAGGGACAGAGAAATTGCACATGTGTGCTGGGGCTGTAAGTGCTGAAGAGACATTGAGAATGGAGCCTTGAGTGAGGAGTCCTGGGACAGTGGAAGCCAAAGGTGAAGTCAGAGCAATGTTTCAGGTGAAAGAATGTATGTCACATTACTTGCCCTGTATCTACAGGAGACAAGCACCCCAAGAAACAAGAAAAAAAGCCAGTGACAGTGTCCTCAGAATTTGTGGATGAGGCTCTGTGTGCATGTGAGGAACACCTCAGCAACCTGGCCCACACGGATATTGACAAGGAGCTGGAGGCTCCGCTCTACCTCAGCCATGCGAGCTGGTCCCTCTTCCTCCAGCGCTACTACCAAGTAGTCCAGTGAGTACCCCTGCAGCCAGGGCTTTGGGGTGTAGCAGGTGATTAGGATCAGACTCTATCCATCTAGCACAGCCCTCATCTCTTCCCTAAGCCTCTTCCTCCTCCTTTTGTTTGTCCTGTTGCTCTCCTGCTCAGCAACACTCAGGGGCTCCCATTGGTTCCATGATGGAGTCCAACCCACTCTTCTTGGCTTTTGTGTGTGTGTGTGTGTGTGTGTGTGTGTGTGTGATTTTTTTCTTTTCTTTTTTTTTGTGGGGGAGGGGAAGTACTGGGATTTGAACTCAGGGTCTCACTAGGCAGGCACTCTACCACTTGAACCACTCCACCAGCCCACTTCCTGGCTCTTAACTTAGTATGGGCACTGACTAAAATTATGGCCTGGAATGCCAGGTTGACCTGAATTCAAGTCCTGGCTTTGCTCTTCCAAGCTCTGTGACCTTGGAGACACCATGAATCTTTTAAAACTTTCCTTTTCTCAAATGCAAAAACAGATTTAAAAATAATGTCTGCCTGGAAGGTCAGATGAGACAGGATAATTTGTATTATGAGTTCAGCATGGATTCATAGTGTCCACTCAAGTAGGAATTGAAGCCATTTAGATTTTGTCTTGGAGTCCATTTCCCAAAGGTAATTAGCACAGGATGCTGTGTAAAAGAGGTAAACTAGATGGAAAAAGGGCTTTTGTGGTCAATTGCGTTTGAAAGATACGGGTTAAACAAAGTTAATTAAACAGGCTTTCTTGATGCAGGACTATCCAGAACCTCTTGATGTGAACCTCAGAGACATGGGGGCAGGAGGGGGAGAGGGAGAGAGAGAATGCATCAAATCTATCTGTACTTATGTGACCCCAGCACCCCCTCTGCCAAAGGGGTAGTGTCTTTAGAACTCACTTTGGGAAAAGGTTCTTGAGCAGTGGAGGGATTAAGAAGAGCCTGGCACTTCTGTAGAGAGAACCATTGAGCAGAGACATGCAGGAGAGGCTGGAGCATGCAGGGCCCTGGTGGCAGGAGAACACACAGCGAGCACTTGTTAGCATCACTTGTATGCTGAGCATTGTGCAGGCTCCAGAACCAAAGCACAGTCCCTGCTCTTCTGGGGTTGGGGAACACAGCTCCAGGTGGGGGGCTTGCAACAGGCCAGGTGAGAGTGCTAAAGGGCTCAGCTAGTGGTGGTGTTAATAAAAGGATTTAAGTACCTAGTGGGGCAAGCTGAAGAACTGATGAGCAAACTGAATGAACGACATAATCAGAAAAGCCACACCTGTCTCTCTCTCTCCCTCCCCCTCTGTCTCTTCCTCCCTTCCCCCCCACCTTCTTGTGGTACTAGGGACCTACTCCTTCAGCCACTCCTTTTTTGTGATAGGTTTTTTCGAGGTAGGGTCTCAAGAACTGTTTGCCTAGGCTGGCTTCAAATCCCAGTCCTCCTGATCTTTGCCTCCTGTGTAGCTAGGATTACAGGCATGAGCCACTGGTGCCCAGCAAGACGGCTTTCTTAAATGAAGAATTATCAAAGCTGAGTTAGAATATCAGATGCAAAGCACATGAGTCCTTTCTATTTCCAGAGTGGACTGTGAGGACTTTCCAGAAGTCAGAATTACATAAACTACTGCATCATAAAGCAGATGGTACAGTACAGGTGATTAGCGTTAATTCATTAACTATTTACTGCTGTGCTTCTCCACTTTTAAAAGCAAATTTATGCTTAACCTATCAGACCTTTAGAAAGGTTGACTTTCCACAAAAATACCGTTGTTTTCCCTAAATATAAAATCATATTGAATATTCTCTTTCAAGTTACTCATGCCCCTGCAACCCCCAGGTGATACTTTCTTGGGCCTCCTCCCAAATTTACTGACCAGATACTTTATAAGGTTAGGATGTAGGTGTGAATATTCCTGAAGACATTGCCGAGGCCCTTCATCAAGCCTCGTGCTTGCTAGGCAGGCGCCCTATCACTCGAGCCACTCTGCCAGCCCATATACTTAGCATTCTTGAGGGCCTGGATTCAAACCCAAGTGCTAGTGGAGGAAGACAACAATAACCAAATAAGCATATGTCAGAGGAGAGTGTGTGATAGGAAGAGCAACAGAGCTAGGGGAAGTATACAGACTGGGCAGGGGACCCACTCATCAACGAATGTTAGGCCCAGATTAGGAGAGGATGAAACCCCCAAAAGCACCAGGAGGTGAGTCAATCAGGCATTTGGATCCTGGCTCAGTCCCTCAACTCTAGTCTTGGGCAAGTCCCTTAACTCTTTAAGCTTCAGTTTACATTTCCCCAAAATGGGACAAGGAATACTTCCCAGCAGTGCTGTAGAAAGGATCAGTGATAATATATGGAAGTCCCTTGACACAATGCCTGGCATACAGTGGTGCCCCACCACCAGGAGCTGGAATGATTCTCCAAAGGCAGTTTTAATAGGAAGGTGGCAGCAGGTGGACTATTGATAGGGTGTGTGTGAAGTAAATGGAATTTTCCCAGCCTTCCCCATTCCTGTACTCTGGGCAGGTCAGGAGCATGGGGATGGGGGGAAGGCATGACCAAGGCTGGTTGGACCATGGCCAGGGGAGCCTATGTCTCCCTTTGTCCTGTCCTCCCACCTTTCCCCAGGCCTTACCCTGCCCAAGTTCCACCATCTCCCCACAGCGAGGGGGCAGAACTCAAGCACCTCGACACTCAGGTCCAGCGCTGTGAGGACATCCTGCAGCAACTACGGACCGTGATACCCCAGATGGACATGGAGGGGGATCGAAACATCTGGATCGTGAAGCCAGGAGCCAAGTCCCGTGGAAGAGGTGGGGGTCAGTCCCTGCTTCCTGCACCAGCACCCCATGATCTGCATCCCCCACTAGAAGCCAGGGAGCCCTGATTCTTAGTGCAGACTGTTGAACTGCATGGTTTCAGATTCCAGCTTTCACTAATAATCTATATAGCCTTGAGCAAGTCAGACCACCTCTCTAAACCTTAGTTAACTGAAGTGGGGATGATGCAAATGCCTCCCATGAAGGGGGATTAAATGCAGGAATGCATTCAAAGTTCAGCATGGTGCTAGGACAAATGTGACTGCTGAGATGGTGAAGCCAGCCCCTCCTTCCTGCCCCGAGTTGGGATTAGTGCTTTAGGTGTGTTTGGTAACACTCACAAGCACTTGCTTATCATCCTTATGGGCTGTAGCACAGTGGTAAAGGACATGGATGCTGGGAATCAGACCCCCTGAGTTCAAATCCAAGCTCTGCCTCCTACTTACCTGTAAGACTGGGGCAGGTTAGTTAACCTTTTCTGGATCCAATACATACGCAGAGGGTTGAGAGTATAAGACATATACAGCACTTAGATCCTGGGCCTGTGCAGAGTGACTGCCATATAGGTGCTACTTAGCTGCCAAGTGTGAATGGAATTTGAGTAGGAGAGCCAGCAGGCTGGGGTGAGGCCTTAGTCCACCTTAAAGACTGCAGAAGGCGCTGGGCACTCATGCCTGTAATCTTAGCTACTTGGGAGGCTGAAATCGGGAGGATCACAGTAGGAGGCCAGTCTAGGCAAATAGCTTGTGAGACCCTCATCTTCAAAATAACCAGAGTAAAATGAACTGGAGGTGTGGCTCAAGTGGTAGAGCACCTGCTTTGCAAGTGTGAAGCCCTGAGTTCAAACCTCAGTCCCACCAGGAGTTCCTGAAGCCTCCTGAGAAGTAGACAAGAGACTTTTGGCACCAGATCTCTCCAAATACTGCCTTGAGGGCAGAGTGTATTCATGGCCAGGTGAAGCTGTTATAGCTCCAAACACTGCGATGCTTTTCTTGGAATGTTACCTCAAAGCCAGCATTGAATTCCTTTATTTTTATTTATTCATTTTGGTTTTTTGAGGCAGGGTCTTGCTATGTAGCCCAAGCTGATTTGGAACTTGCTAAACTCGCTGGATTATAGGCATGACCATGAAGCCCAGGTTTTATTTATTTATTTTGTGGTGCTGGGGATTGAATTTAGGACCTTGAGCATGCTAGGCAAACATCCTGCCATTGAGGTAAACTCTCAGCCCCTCCTTCCTATTTATACCTTAGAAGTGGTTGTGTTGGAGCTGGGCACCTGTGGCCCATACCTGTAATCCTAGCTGCTCAGAAGGCAGAGATCAGGAGGATGGCGGTTTGAAGCCAGCCCCAGGCAAATAGTTTGTGAGACCTTATCTCAAAAAACCCACCACACAAAAAGGGATGGCAGAGTCGCTCAAGTGGTAAGAGCGCCTGCCTAGCAAGGATAAGGCCCTGAGTTTAAACCCCAATGCCACCAAAAAAAAAATTTTTTTTGTGTTGTTTTTTTATTATGAGAATGTGTTTATTGTTTAAAAAATGCAGAAAAGTAAAATTAAACAAAAGCCACATTTAATTTCACTAAGAGATACTGCTATTAACCTTTTTTTAATTATTATTGTTGTAGTGGGGGTACACTGTGACATTTACAAAAGTTCTTACAATATATCATAGTTGAATTCACCCCCTCCATCATTCTCCTTTATTCCCCCTCCCCCCTGCTATTAGCCTTTTAATGCCTTTCTACACTTTTCTCTGTGCATTTGGAGTGTTTTTTGTTTATTTATTTATTTATTTTTTGTTTTGGAATGTTTTTTATTTAAAACATTGTACCATGGCCTTATTTTTTCATTTAGATTTTTCTATAATCATCAATTGTTAGTATAACTCTTCAGTTTTGTAACTTTTTTCTTAACATTAGATATTGGAGATCACTGCATTGCAGTATACCAGGCCTTTTTTTATTATTATTTATTTTATTCCTTGTGTTTTTGAGACAGGGCCTAATCATGTAACCCAGGCTGACCTTGAACTCACAGTCTTCCTGCCTTAGCCTCTTAAGTGCTGGAACCACAGGCTTGTGCCACCTCTCCCAGCTTCAGATCTTTTTTTCTTTTTGGTAGTACTGGGTTTAAATTCAGGGCCTTACACTTAGTTGGCAGGCACTCTACCACTTGAGCCACTTGGCCAGCCCATCTTTTTTCTTTCTTTTAACTTATTTTATGGGTACTTTTTCTTTGAGTCAGGGTCTCACTGTGTGGGCCAGCCTGGTCTCGAACTCCTAGGCTCAAGTGATACTTCTTTCTCTGTCTCCTAAATAACTGGTACTATAGGTGCCACTCCACCATGCCTGTCTGTTATGGACAATTTTGAACATATACTAAAATAGATTAATAGAGTGACTCTCCATGTATCTAGCACCAAATTTTAACATTTTATTTCCATTTTTATAAAACCTTATTGAAGCCTCCCTAGCTACTCAGGAGGCAGAGATCAGAAGGATCACAGTTTAAGACCAGCCCTGGCAAAAAATTTGTGAGACCCCTATCTAGTCAATGGCTAGGCACTATGGTCCATACCTGTCACTCCAGCTATGTGAGGAAGCACAAATAGGAAGATCATGGTCCAGGCATAAAGGATGACCCTATCTTAAAGATGTCAACACAAAAAGGGCTGGTAGAGTGGCAGAGGGCTTGCCTAGCAAACACAAGGCCCTGAGTTCAACCTCCCAGTACCGCAAAAAAAAAACCAAACCCTTATTGAAGTGATAAACTTTGTTGAAAAGGGTATACATTGTGAGTATGTATACAGGTAAGTGAACACACTTGTGTAAACAGCACCCAGTATTAAGAAATCCAATACTTACCTGTACCTTACAGCCCCTTGCCATGCCTCCCTGGTAATCTCTACTACCCCACAATGGTAACCCATCCTGAATTGTAATATCACAGATTACTACTACCTGTTCTTGAATTTTGCGGGGGTTGGGGATTTGAACTCAAGAGGTTCATGCTTATTAAAGCAGGCACTCTACCATTTGAGCCACACCTCCAGTTCATTTTGCTATGGTTACTTTGGAAATGAGGGTCTCACAAACTGTTTGCCCAGGCTGGCCTTCTACTGCCATCCTCCTGATCTCAGCCTCCCAAGTAGCTAAGATTACTGGTGTGAACAACCTGCACCAGAATGAATTTTTTTAAAGTACAGTATGTACTTTTTTACCTCATTTGGCCTTCTAGCTGCATTGTCTAGTTTGGATGCATCTAACCCTTTTCTGACAGATATTTAGACAGGCTCTAATTTTTTTCCTTTTTTTATTGTTTGCTACTATAAGCAATACTGTGATGAACATTCTGTGCATATAGCTTTCTGGCCTTTTTCATTTATTTCTTTAGGATAAATTACTGGAAATGAAATTTCTTTTTTTTTTTTTTTTTTTGTTTTGTTCTGGTGCTGGGGATTGAATCCAGGGCTTTGCACGTGCTTTATAAGGTACTCTACCACTGAGCTACATCCCCAACCCTAGAAATGAAATGTCTGTATCAAAGGCCTGAATAGTATGTTCTGTTTGTGAGGAGCAAAACTGAGGAGCAAGCATTCTATCACTGAATTATGTCCCTAGCCTCTCTGAAATATTTTTGGGGGACAGAGGTATTGAGACAGGGTCTCACTTTGTAGTCCAGGCTGGCCTGGAACTCGAGGTCTTCCTGCTTCAGGAAGCAGGAATTACAGGATTATAGGAATGTACCACCAAGTCAGGTCCTATGAACATTCCTAATTTTTTCTTACACAAGGTATTATATTCTTGGGAGTTTTGGTGATCAATCTGGCCTTTGAGGATGGATCTGGTCTGGGAACTAGGTACAAGTCTCTGTGCCATGGGCAGGTGATCAGGCTGTTTGGAGCCCTAAATAAGAAAGGTATGAAATTGATTTCCTAGTGTGTGTTTCATAATTCTGATTTTCACCAGCATTAAAATGATGCCTTATGAGCATAAGATACTTAACTAAAAGTAGTTAAGTATTTAAGTAACTACTAAAAGTAGTTAAGTAGTTAAGTAACAATGAGTATGCTCATTGTACAAGAGATAAAGTAGGACTGCAGGTGTGGCTCAGTGGTAGAGTGCATGCTTAGCATGTCCAAGCTGATTCAATCCCCAGTACCCCCTAAAAAAACAGTCCAAGCACAGTGGTGTGCATCTGGCACACACCTCTATTCTCAGCTACTCAGGGGGCTGAGGCAAGAGAATCCTTGAATTCAGGAGTTCTAAACCTTCTTGAACAACAAATAAAATAAAATAGCAATATAAAAATACAAGAAACATAAAATAAAAATAAATATATGTGTACACACATACTTACTGGCCATTTTCTACCTAGGAGCGACTAAGCAGTCAGCTGAGAGTGTTGGGTGTGACTTGGGCCAACACAATCACATATATGTTTGTTCAGTCTGCCAGAATTTCCAGCATCAAATGAAAAATGACATGCTCTTGGAGCAGCAAATATTTGGCTAGAAATTTATCCTGAATAATAATGACATCAGTTCACGTTTATTGAGTGCTTACTATATGCCAAGGCTTATTCCAAATGCTTGACATGCTTTAATTTCATGCATGAAACCGAGGAACCGAGGCATACGTTACTTTCATATAATTTGGAAGGATATCCAGAAAGACTCAGAAGCAGCAATTGGCTGCCTCTGCAGAGAGGTTTCTTTTGTTTGTTTTGTGGTATTGGGGATTGAACCAGGACTTCAAATATGCTAGGCAAGCACCCTACCACTTCAGCTATACCCCCAGCCTGGGATGTATTTTTATATACTTTTATATTAATTTTTGTTTTATATTGTGCTATTGGAGCAAAATAATGTGCATATTTTTTTTTGAGAGCAGGACTCCCTATAAAACCCAGGCTGGCCTCAAACTTTGTTGGGGTTTTTTTTTTTTTTGGCAGTACTGGGGTTTGAACTCAGCGCCTTGCATTTGCTAGACAAGCCCTCTACTTCTTGAGCCAGGCCCAAGCCTGACCTTGAACTTGTAGTCCTTCTGCCTCAGCCTCCCAAGTGCTGGAATGACAAGTGCATGCCACCATGCACCTGCATCTTTTTTCTTTTTCTTTTTTAAAGCCCATTACTATTTTAATTTTTATCCACTCATACATTCCTTCTCAATCAAATAAAATTAGTAATTGGAAAAACTCAAAATCCTTAGCAAATTCTCAGCTTTCCCAAGGGAGTTTCTGATTGAGGGAGGCAGGTTTCCCCACACAATCCTGTCTTATACCTTGGTCCCCTGGTGCTGCTCCCAGCCCAAGCCTGACCTCCCTGTCCCTGCTCGCTCCTCTCCCTCTAGGCATTGTATGCATGGATCACCTGGAGGAGATGCTGAAGCTGGTGGACGGCAACCCCATGGTGATGAAGGATGGCAAGTGGGTGGTGCAGAAGTATATCGAGCGGCCCCTGCTCATCTTTGGCACCAAGTTTGACCTGAGACAGTGGTTCCTGGTGACTGACTGGAACCCACTTACTGTGTGGTTCTACCGTGACAGCTACATTCGCTTCTCCACACAGCCCTTCTCCCTGAAGAACCTGGATAAGTACGCCCTCCCCGGCCCACACACCTCTCATGAGCCCCCAGCCTAGTGAGGATCTGGTACACAAACAGGCAACTACAGAGCAGTGGAATCCTGTACCAACATGGTTCCAAGTATGGACTTGACAGGCAGGCGAGCAGGCCCTCCATTCTCCCACCTATCATTCCATCCTGCAGAAGCTTATCAAGACTGTGCCCCAGGGTTGGTGGAGTGATTCAAGTGGTAGAGCACCTGCTAGCAAGCACCAAGCCCTGAGTACCACCCAAAAAAAAAAAAAGTGTGCCCCAGGTGGTTCTAGGCCCTTGGGATATAGTGGGGAACAAAACAAGATCCCAGCTCTCAAGAGCTCACATCCTAGCTGGTCCCAGAACTTGCCTGTCCCCTGAGCTTGAGTGGGGGATACAGGGTTGAGCCTCAGCTTTCCCTCTGCCCTAGCTCGGTGCATCTGTGCAACAATTCCATACAGAAGCACCTGGAGACCTCGTGCCATCGACATCCGATGCTGCCCCCAGACAACATGTGGTCCAGCCAGAAGTTTCAGGCCTATCTACAGGAGTCAGGTGCTACGAACGCCTGGGCCAGTGTCATTGTGCCTGGCATGAAGGCTGCTGTGATCCATGCACTGCAGACCTCTCAGGACACCGTGCAGTGCCGGAAGGCCAGTTTTGAGCTCTATGGTGCAGATTTTGTGTTTGGTGAGGACTTCCAGCCCTGGCTGATCGAGATCAATGCCAGCCCCACCATGGCACCCTCCACAGCAGTCACCGCCCGTCTCTGTGCTGGTGTGCAAGCGGACACCTTGCGCGTGGTCATCGACCGGCGGCTGGATCGCAACTGTGACACGGGAGCCTTTGAGCTCATCTATAAGCAGGTGAGGTGGTTGACCCCAGACATGACCCCAGGAGACCCACTCCCTCTCGCAGGCAGCCCCACCCTGAAGCACAGGACTCTGCAGTCAGAGTCAGTTTGAGACGTGGGTTCAAGGCCTGGCCCTGCCAGTGTGTCTTAGTATAGCCATTTCTCCTCCTTGGGCCTCAGTTTCCTCATCTGTAAAATGAAGATATTACCGTCTTTCTCCTGAGATGAGGCACTGCAATGAGTTTGTATGTAGGGAAAGTATCTTCAGTCTCTGGGACCTCCTTGGGTTCAAATTCCTGTTCAGGAACCGTGAGCTGCATGACTTTAGACAAGTTCCCAGTCTTTAGGAGGTCACAGTTTCCTCATCTGTAAAGCAAGAATAAAAACAGCTCCTAATTCAGGTGGTGAGAATTAAAGGAGTTGATGTAGTAAGCGAAGTACTTTAGAATAGTGCCTGGCACACCAAAAACAATACACAAGTTTTAGCTTGTGTTGTTATTATCTAGTAAAGTTGTCAGGAGTGTCATGATAAATTGGCAGTGCCTGTAAAGTGCCTGACATACAGTAAGAGTTAATTACTAAGTAGTGGCAGCTATTATTATTATTATTTTACTCATCTTATTCCAAACAGAGGTTTGAATCTGGTTGCAGGAGTTTGAAAAGTAAATTTTAAGGATTTCTGAGCTGTGAAAGTAATTTGTTATGGCAATTTAATTGCTTTGTGTGTGTGTGTATGTATGTGTGTGGTTGGAATGCTAGGCAAGTACTTTACCACTGAGTTACATCCCCAGTCCATTAGTGCCTTCTGATGAGGATTCTGCATCTAACAAGGTTTGGCTACAGGGAAGGAAAGTGCTGATCACATGACCTACGTGGCCTTGTGTCTCTTACAGTTACTGATCATGTCTTTAATATGTTGGTGTATTGGTTTCAAAAAAATGTTTTTGGGGATTTTTGGTTTGTTTTCTGGTGGTGGGACTTGAACCCAGTGCCTTGAACATGGCAGCCTTCAAAAAATGTAAATAAGGAAATATAATTGCAGTGATCTATGATGACAAAGCCAAGGAGAGAGCTGCCGTTGTACTGCAGGGGTTCTCAGACCAGAATCCCCTGGAAAGTTTTGCAAGCATATGGACATAGGAGGCCCTGCCTTCGGAGACTGGGCCACCATGTCTGGCTTGGGGACTGTGCATCTGCATTTGTCAAATCTCCTCTTTCCCCCAGTTGTCTTTTAGTGCTGATTTGTTTTTGTTTCCTTTTAGTCCAATATGTAATCAAGTTTCATGCCCTGCCGTGGTGGTTTTGTCTCTTTAATCTCTTTTAATCTAGGACAGCTCCACTGCTTTTGTCCCATCGTTTGGATCGTTTGAAGGGACCAGGAGGTTGCTTGTTTTGTAGAAGTGTCCCACATTCTGGATTCATCTGATTGTTTCCTTGTGGTGGTGTTTAATTTGGTCTTCTGTTACCTGAATGTCCTATAAACTAGAAGCTAGGTCAAACAGCTTGATGAGGTTCAGGTTAAACATTTTTGGCAAAAACATTTCAGAGGTGATGCTGGATACCTCATGTGACAGCACAAGGCACATACTGTTAGAGATGCTAAATCTGACTTTGGGCTAAAGTGGTTGCTGCCATCTTCTCTTCAACAAAATTAGACATAAGGGCAGAACAGGTTCTGCCTGGAAGCAAGGGGGGAAGGAGGGGACAGGGGGGAGAAGTGACCCAAACAATGTACGAACATGTGAATAAATGAATAATAATAATAATAAAAGTGGTTGCTGCCAGATAGCTTCATTAGAAGCTTCATCTTTCCCTTTTCAATTATTAATTACTTTGTATATTAGCCCATTTTCTGTTGCTAATAACATAATACAATAGATTAGGTAAGTTATAAAGCAAAGAGGTTCAACCAGGTACCAGTGATTCACACCTAGTTAGTAATCCCAGCTACTTGGGGGTCTGAGATCAGGAGGATCACAGTTCAAGGCCAGCCTGGCCAAATAAGTTTGTGAGACACCTCTCCAAAATAACCAGAGCAAAATAGACTGTATGTGTGGCTCAAGTAGTAGAGCGCCTGCTTCGCAAGCGTGAAACCTTGAGTTCAAACCCCAGTCTCTTAGCTTCTCAGCACGCAGGGATCAGGAAGATTGCGGTTCAAGGCCAGACCAGGCAAATAGTTCACAAGACCCCATCTGGAAAATACTCAACACAAAAAAGGGCTGATGGAGTGGCTCAAGTGGTAGAGCGCCTGCCTAGCAAGCATGAGGCCTTGAGTTCAAACCTCAGTACCACCAAAATGAAGGCAAGAAGCGGTGGGGGGAGTTGTAGAGATACAAAATCAATGAGCTACATCTACTTCTTCTGGTCTTGCTGACAAAGTTCTGCAGTGTGACATAGTCCACAGAAGTGTGGCAGAGTCCAGAGGTGGCACAAGGCATCACTTGTCAAGAGACAGGGAGACACTGGGGGTGTGCTAACTTGTGCTTGTGTAACTTGTGCACAAGGTACTGGGTTCCATCCCTAGCACTACATTAAAAAGAGAGACAGAGCTGAGCACCAGTGGCTCATGCCTGTAATCCTAGCTACTCAGCAGGCAGAGATCAGGAGGGTTGTGGTTCAAAGCCAGCCCAGGCAAATAATGTACAAGACCCTATCTCAAAAAAATCAAAAAAAAAAAAAAAAAAAGGTTGGTGGAGTGGCTCAAGATGTAGGCCCTGAATTCAAACTATAGTACCACAAGAAAAAAAAAAAAGACAGAAACAGATAAAGACAGACAAGGAGGCATGTGCATATGGTGGTGGCTGTCTGGTTTCTGTCCCTCTTACAAAGCTATGGGCTTCAGTCACGGGGCTCCGCCCTGATGCCTTTATCTGACCCTCACCATCATGTTCCAAAGGCCCCACTTTATTTTTTTTTTTTTTCATTTTTCTTTTATTATTCATATGTGCATACAAGGCTTGGTTCATTTCTCCCCCCTGCCCCCACCCCTTCCCTTACCACCCACTCCGCCCCCTCCCGCTCCTCCCCTCAATACCCAGCAGAAACTATTTTGCCCTTATCTCTAATTTTGTTTTGTAGAGAGAGTATAAGCAATATAGGAAGGAACAAGGGGTTTGCTGGTTGAGATAAGGATAGCTATACAGGGCATTGACTCACATTGATTTCCTGTGCGTGGGTATTCCTTCTAGGTTAATTCTTTTTGATCTAACCTTTTCTCTAGTTCCTGGTCCCTTTTCCTACCTCCCGCTCCTCCCCTCAATACCCAGCAGAAACTATTTTCCCTTATCTCTAATTTTGTTGTAGAGAGTATAAGCAATAATAGGAAGGAACAAGGGGTTTTGCTGGTTGAGATAAGGATAGCTATAACAGGGCATTGACTCACATTGATTTCTGTGCGTGGTATTACCTTCTAGGTTAATTCTTTTTGATCTAACCTTTTCTCTAGTTCCTGGTCCCTTTTCCTATTGGCTCAGTTGCTTTAAGGTATCTGCTTTAGTTTCTCTGCATTAAGGGCAACAAATGCAGCTAGTTTTTTAGGTGTCTTACCTATCCTCACCCCTCCCTTGTGTGCTCTCGCTTTTATCATGTGCTCATAGTCCAATCCCCTTGTTGTGTTTGCCCTTGATCTAATGTCCACATATGAGGGAGAACATACGATTTTTCAAAGGCCCCACTTTAAACACCGTGGTTGGATTAAGTGTCTACCCTCACAGTGGGACTTATGTTTCCATACAAGAAGCCTTGGGGACAAACCACAGCTGAACCATGCCACTTTGTAGGGTCACACTTGGTGTGCAAATTATAGTTTCCTTTCATCCTTTCTGCTTGTTTTAATACCCCTATTGTTTTAGAGCTGCAAAATGATCAATTTCTAATTATACTGTTCATTTTATATTAATTGAGGTTCTTCTGCAGGTGAGCCCTCTCTCGTCAACTGTGACCATCTAGAAGCTCTGCTGGGTGTATTTTATCAAGCTCCAAGTGATTCTGATGTTTGGATAGATTCTAGAATGCTATTTTTTCCCCCCTTTTCTTTTTTAATGGTACCAAGGACTGTGCCCAGGGCCTCGAATATCGTAGGCAATCATTCTAGCACTGAGCTACCCTTCCATTTCCCACCCTCCACCCTCCTTTTTTTTTTCTTTAAAGACAGAGTTGTCCAGCCTGGCTTTGAACCCCTGGGTTCAAGTGCTTCTTTTTGCCTCAGTTTCCCTAGTAGCTGGGACTATGGCCCATGCCAGTTCATCGGACTTCCCCTGCCTTCTTTAAGGCTCGTTTCTGCTCCCCCAGAACTTGGTTTCACATGAAGTTGAAGGCTGGCTCTAAGCCTCTTATCTGTGTGGGCGTCATAACTTAAATTCTTTCTCCAGAGAATGTGACTGGCTCAGCTCAGGAAGCTGTCATTCCTCAGCGGCCTGTGGAGTAGAGCCACGCACATTCCAACATGCGATGGGAGCAGCCTAGGAGGGCAATAGGGTGGGCATGACTGGATTCCAACTCCTCTGGGTCAGCAATCCCTGGGGCTCTGACTCGCTGGGTGGACCCCTCAGAGGATAGAGATGGATTTCCCATTTCTGATCCCAGAAATGTCTCTTTTATCAGGTATTTCAGAAATTGGTTCCATCCATTTGTGCCCTAAGTCCTGCTAGGTTGTGACTCTAATTGCACTGTCTGAGTGGACCTTGTCTCCTTTTGTCCACAGCCTGCCGTGGAGGTACCCCAGTATGTGGGCATCCAGCTTCTGGTGGAGGGTTCCACCATCAAGAAGCCCATGGCAATGAGTCATCGGCGGATGGGGGTCCGCCCAGCGCTCCCCCACCTGCTGACCCAGCGAAGCGCTGGGGAAGGCAAGAAACCAGGGACCTCTACCCACAGGTCAGCTTCTAGGAAAGCTGCTGGGGCCAGAAGCCTGGGGCACAGTGAGAAGCCAAACTCCACTGCCACCACCTCGGTTCCCGGAAAGGGGAAGAAAGGCAAGGCAAAAAGTGCCAAATCCCTGGTCTGCCCCATCCTCCAGAAGCAAGATCCAAACCCAGCACCAGGACAGGCCACATTTTCACCACGAACATTGCTAGTGGACACAGATGATCCCACCTCCTGAACAGACTGCCCGCATTGAGTCTGAAAAATCCCCAGGCCCTGGGTAAGACCATTCCCCTCAAGCATCCAAGGTAATTTCTTCCAACCCCTTTCCAACCACCTGGATCTGCCCTCCCACCAAAGGGACACCAATAGCAAGTAAAAGTCACTGCTCACAAAGGTTTTTTTTTGATGGTACTAGGATTTGAGCTCAGGGCCTCACACTTGCTAGGCAGGTGCTCTGCCACTTGTGCCACTCCACCAGCCCACAAAGGATTTTTGAATATGCAGCCAAATGCATAGTCCCTTCCAAAGTAGTAACCCTACCAGGCAGTTATACTGAAAGACACCAGGCCTCAGTCCCAGGGTGCTTCTCTCAAGTATTGTGCCTTTGCCTCCACGCAGAGTGGCTTCTGGGGGAAAAGAGCTAATACCTGTAAAGCACTTAACTGTTTACACTGTGCCACTACCTAACCAACTCCCTTAGTCCTCACAGCACCTAGTGTGGTAGCTGCCATTTGTTCCCACTTTGCAGCCGAGGCAGCAGGAAGTTCAAGGAAGTTGCCCGATGTTGCACAGCTCAGAAGGGGCCATCCAGAGATGCAGACCCAGGTCTGTTGGACTCTACACCTTGTGTCCTGCCCACTTCCTCTGGAGGAGGAAATGGGAGGGCTCCATCTTTCTTTGCCCTGCCCCTTTTCTCCCCACCCTCTTCATATAGCTTGTGGGGCAGCTGGTCAGCTTTGCTGCCGCCAGGCCCTTACAGCTTCCCTTGCTCCCACAGCCCCTTCCCACTTCCCCAGGCTCCAAACCAAGACCCAGCTACCTTCTTCCTGTGAACTCCGACCCCAAGGCCAGGTCCTCAGACTGCAGTACAGCAAGCTGGTGGGCTCTACGGCCCTGTCGACCACAGGCAAGGCCTTGATGACTCTACCTACAGCCAAGGTTGTGATGGCCCTCCCATCTAACCCTGAACTTACGCTGGCACCCCGCATCCTGAAGCTGGGAAAGGTGGGCCTCAAACTGTGATTCATACCCTGTGGGAAGTGTTAGCACTGAGATCAGGGCTGGAGGACACAGGCAGAGTGTAGCTTCCAGGCCAGCCAGTGCCTCCAAGGAAGGGCTTGTCCCCTCAGAACCCCCTTCCTAGACAGGTTCCTGATCATCGCTTCCCCTCTCCGTCCTTTCACACTGAGGCCATTGCTCCCCAGCACCTTCAGGGTCCCCATCTTGGAAGTGCCTTGTGGTCTCCGCCCTTTGAAGTTGGAACTCTGCCTAGCATCCACAGGAAGGTCAAGGCCAAAGGCAGATTCTGCAGCAAACCTAAGGTGGAGGCGTGCCCCGTGAAGAGGCTGAGGCTCCCTACAGTCCCTTAGTTCTGCATTCCATAGGCTGGGGGAATGGAGGATATAAGGCTAGAGAAACCCCTGCTCTTGACCCTCACTGCCTCTGTCGTGGCTCCAGTGTCAAATAAAAAGGAGTAAATGACATATTCTGGGCTTGGTGCCACTGCTGTTGGAACAGATAGACTGTGGCCCACTACCCCAAGGCCCAGGGAAGAACTAGAGGCCATTAGCAACTTTTCCATGCAGCAAGGCCCAGAATTCCTACCTAGTGACAGACACAGGGATTCCTATTCAGGGACTCAGGGTGGGGGGCGGGGGGGGTGTCAATCTTAACTATACAGATGAGGAAACTGAGTCTGAAAAAGGGAATGTGGTTGCCCAAGATCATGTGGCACTGAGTAGAAGGCAGGGACACATTGTCACATCTGCTGACCAAGGGCTGGCTCTCAAGTGGCAGAGCACCTGCCTAGCAAGCATGAGGCCCTAAGTTCAAACCCCAGTACCACAAAAAGAAAAAAAAAAAACCAAAACTGCTGACCGTCAGGAGTCTAACTCTGTAAGTTAAACAGGGCCGGCAGAATGCCATCTAATGACCAAGGAACATTTGATGAGACGGGGAAGAATGACCTTGTCTAAACCCCTTCTCCACAGGGTGTGGGTCTGTCTGCTCCTCAGCCAGGAGCCAAAGCCATCTAAGAATGGGGTATCCAATAAGCCTCACCCAGGTGAAGATGTATGGCATTTCATAGTTGTAGTGGGTTGAATGGAAGCCCTGTGACTGTGTCCTTTTGTAAGAAAAGTTTTGCAGATATAACTAAATTGACATCTCAAAATGAGATCATCCCCCCAGATTATCTAGGTGGACCCTAAATCCACTGACAAATATCCTTGTGTCAGAAGAGATGACAGAAGGTGTAGGTGGGAAAAACTCCACTTCCACCCTCCTAGGATTTTAACTGGATCTGACAAATTAGATAGATTAATGGAAGAGCATGCAAATTTATTTAATGTAAGTTTGATAAGACATGCAGCCCTCATGAATGAAGACTCAAAAAAGGCAGTAAGAGTCAGTTACTTGCAATACTAGACTGGACAAAGAAGAGTTATGGAGCAACTCAATTGCAACAAAATAATGTGGAAAGGCTTACTGCCTGGACTGCCTTCAAACTTCGATCCTCCTGATTTCTACCTTCTGAGTAGCTAGGATTACAGGTGTGAGCCACCGGTGCACAGCTTAACATTTTAGGCTTTTTTTTTTTTTTTGATGGTACTACGGTTTGAACTCAAGGCCTCATGCTTGCTAGTCAGGTGCTCTACCACTTGAGCCATTCCATCAGCCCTCTTTTTTCTTTTTTCTTTTTTTTGCAGTAGGACTGGTGTTTGAACTCAGGGCTTTGCACTTGCAAAGTAGCTAGCATTATAGGCATGAGCCACCAAAGCCCGGCAACTTTTCAGCCTTGAGAAGGATGCTGTACTTTGTCAGTGTAGGGAGAGCATCTTTCACAGGGAATCTCATCTGCTCTGTTTTGGTGGTGTTGAGGGGTTGAACTCAGGGCCTTGTGTTTACTAGGCGTACCCTACTACTTAGGCCACACCTCCAGCCCTTTTTTGCTTTAGTTACTTCTCAGGCATAGGCATGAGTTTTTGTCCAGGGCCAGTCTTGGACCATGATTCTCCTACCTACAGCCTCCTGCATAGCTGGGATAATAGGTGTGACACCCAGCTTATTTATTGAGGTTGGATCTTGCTAATGCTTTGCCCAAGTAGTCCTTGAACCTTCATCCAATCTCTGCCTCCTGAATAGCTGGGATTAGAGGTGTTGAGCCACTGTGCCTTGCTCTCATTTTCTTTTAAGAAACAGTACAGCTTATAATTCTAGCATTCAGGAGGCTCAGGCAAGACCTTCTTGAGTTTGAGTTCAGCTTGGGGTGCATATGAAGACCCTGCCTCAAAGAGAGAAAGAGAAGAAACAGCACAAAGGTCAAAGTGATTTTCTTGTACCTGCATTTGTTTTGTTTTTTGAGGTACTGGGGTTTGAACTCAAGGCCTCATGCTTACTAGTTAGGTGCTCTACCACTTGAGCCACTCTGCCAGCCTTCAGCTTTATCTTAAACAGTCAATATGTCAGTGTGGTCTAGTTTTAATTCCTTCAAAGACCATGTGAACATGAAGGCAGAGGCTGGGGCTACGACTCAGCAGGCACAAGGCCCTGGGTTCTATCCCCAGCATGGCAAAAACAAAAAAAGAAAAAGAGGCAGAGGTTGGTATGCGGCAGCCACCAATGGGAACCCAGAACCAGGGGATGAGATCAGGGGAGGAGGTGACCCTATCAGCATCTTGGTTTTGGACTTTTCCCCTAAGGACTGAGAGAATGTATTTCAGTTTTACACCACTAGGGTTATGGCCATTTGTTAGGGCAGCTCTAGAAAGCCAATGCATTGGTCAAGTTGGTCACAAAAGAATACATACAGCATGAATCCACTTACAGAAACGTCAAAAATAGACCAAATGAAGTATACTACTTAGGAATGTTAATTATGATAATGTTGTACAACTTAAAAAGGCAAGGAATCCAGGCACAGTGCACAAGCCTGTAATCCTAGCTACTCAGGAGTTTGATCAAGGTTCGAGGCCAGCCCCAGCAAAGAGAGACCTCATCTCAACCAATGGCTGAGTACATTGTACCTGTAATCCCAGCTATGTGGGGAAGCACAGAGAGGAGGATCATGGTCTAGGCTAGCAAAGGAATAAAGTGAGACCCTGTCTCAAAAATAACCAACATAAGCCAGCTGCCAGTAGCTCACACCTGTAATCCTAGCTATTCAGGAGGATGATTCAAAGCCAGACTGGGCAAAGAGTTTGCAAGACCCTATCTTGAAAATACTCAACACAAAAAGCACTGGGAGTGTGGCTCAAGTGGTAGAGCACCTGCCTATCAAGCATGAGGCCCTGAGTTCAAACCCAGTACATCAAAAAAAAAAAAACATAAATAGGGTAGTCAAAGTAATGCAAAATAACAACCACCACACATCCAGGAGTAAAAGTCCCTGGCAATTTCCAGTTGTTGGAATAACCTAATAAACTCCAGAAAAGATTAGGAGATGGTCCAATTAGCTGGGGTTCTAGATGACAAAGACATGACACAAGCTGGACAAGGATGTTCATGAGCCTCCATGAACAATTTATGAAAACCAAATACACAGCCTTAAAATAAAATAAGCACTAAATACCCAGAAGCACTCCCATTTTGTTTTTTTGGGATTTTTTTGGTGGTCCTCGGCCTCGCGCTTTAATTCAGGGCTTCCCATTTGCAAAGCAGGTGCTCTACCTATTCAACCACACCTCCAGTCCATTTTGCTCTGATTATTTTAGAGATGGGATCTCTAGAACTGTTAGCTCAGGCAGGCCTCAAACTGTAATCCTCCTGACCTTTGCCTCCTGGTATTAGCCACTGGTGCCCAGATATTTTACGCTTTTTATTTATTTGTTTGTTTGTTTGTGTTACTACAGCTTACTCAGGGCCTCACACTTGCTAGGCAGGCGCTCTCTACTACTTGAGTCACTCCAGTAGCCCTCAAGTGCCATCCTCCTGATCTCTGCCTCCTGAGTAGCTAGAATTATAGGCATGAGCTACCAGCACTTGGCTCTGTTTCACAATGTTTTAACATAAAAGATCTAACATCTCTACTTAGACCATGTACGTAGAGTAGTCAGTGTCATAGATAGAAAGCAGAATGGTTGCTGCCCGGGCTAAGTGGGGCAAATAGCAAGTTAGTGGACACCAAGTCAATTTTGCAAAACGAAAATAGTTCTAGAGATGGATGGTGGTGCTGGTTGCATATTCTATTAAGTACATAACAATCTGAATGTATTTAATGCCACAGAACTGTAAGTTTAAAGTGGTTAAGATGTATTTGATATACTGTAAGAACTTTTGTAAATGCCACAATGTACCCCCACCCAGCACAACAATTTAAAAAAATAAAGTGGTTAAAATGGACAGCCAGGTATGATGGTACAAATGCAGTCCCAGCTACTCAGGAGGGTGAGGCAGGAAGGTTACTTGAGCCCAGGAATTACAAGCCAGGCTGGCCAACACAGAGAGACCCCATAACAGAGAGGGAAGGAGGGAGAGGGGAAGGAAGGAAAGAAAGATGAGTAAGATGGTAAATTTTATGTTATTTTACCACAGTTTAAAAAAAAAACCTAACATCTCCTCCTGTCCAGAATTTCAAGAGAACTGCCAAATAAAAGATACTCAATTGAGCAAAATACAGTCCATGGTAAACATCTCCTTTCTCAGCAAAACCTCAAAACCAGACTATGAGGAAGTAAGTTTTATTACTTCAAGTCCAAGAGAAATCACTGGCCCAATGCTACACAAAGTGGCCTAGCCAGGATCTGATTACGGAGCCCGTTCTCCCTAGAACTAGCCACAGACCATTTCCCCGTGCTCCCCTCTGCTTTCCAGTTGGGAGCTTGGGCACAGAGGGAGGACTACTGTGGGCAGAGCCCCAGGCACTGCAAGGTCCTAGAAAAATAAGGGGGCAAAGGTGCCAGAAGCTGGGTGGGGGCATCCCTGGGCCTAGTGCCTGGGAGGAGAAGACAATGCAGGTGAAGGTGCAAGGGCAGCTCAGCAGCCTGGGAGGGAGTCAAGTGCAGGCGTCGGAGGAGGACTTCATCCAGGACCTGGAGTGGGAGAGGCATGGCTGCATTCAACCACCTGTGTTCCAGCCAGTGGACACCAGCTCGAAGGGGAATGGGAGTGAGGCACTCTTCTTCCTCCCCTGGTCCACAGCTGCTGTTCTCTCTCTCTCTCTCTCTCTCTCTCCCTCTCTCTCTCTCTATATATATATATGCACACACACACACACAACACACACACACACACACTGAGACTAGTCAGGGATTCACATCTCCTGCATACAGCTGTTATGCCCAGCCCGTTGCAGTTTGCACCTTTTGCATGAGTGGAAGTGGAAGTAGGTGTGTTGCTTCCAGACCTGGCCCATGAAAGCGTCTGGCTAGACAGCAGCAGCTTGGGTGTCGAGTAACTGCCTGGAACAAAGCACTCCTACTCCACTCCCATTCATTGGGTTTACCACGAGGAAATCACTGTGCTAGACTTCAGTACTTGGGGCTGTCAGAGTTGTAGAGGAACCCTAATCCTTACATACTCCTTCTTGCACCCCTTGTACCACAAAGACTCAAAGGATGGTGAACTTGGAAGGGCTTTTAGAAATTATTGACCATGTGGACAGAATGAGGCCTAAAAGAGGGGATATCACTTGCCTAAGCGACACAGTAAGCTAGTGGTAGATCTCTCTGGAAGCCAAGAGGATGCCTCCCAGTCCCAACCTACATAGCTACATGTGGAGATGCTGATCTCTCATCATCCCCACCCCACCCTGGACGGGCACATGGGCACGGTTACCTGTCTCTGGGGCTTGCGGCTCTCAGCTGGCAACAGGAAGCGCTGGCCTAGAACAGTGCCCACGCGAGCAGCATAGGTGCTGTCCCCAAGCACAGGGCAGAGCTGGAGCATCATGTGTACCTGCAGCTGATTGGGGAACACTGGGCGACAGGGAGATAGGAGATGGTGGGCAGCCGTTCCTACTGTCTACCCAGTACTGCCCTGCCTCCTCCCCTGAGGACAGACCACCCCATTCCTGGATTAGGTGGATTAGTGAGATGGTCTCTGCCTCTAGAGAGGGGCACGTGAGCACAACAGGACAATGAGAACTGGCAATCCACCTGTCCTGTGGGAATCAACCCCAAATGGTTGAAGCTACTGGGACCAGGACCACTCACTCCTGCTGGTAATAACAGTGGAGTATAAGCCTGGAGTTGCAACCTCCAGCTGGATCTGGTCACATACATCCTCAGGGTCCATCAGATGCTCCCCAGGCTGCCAGTGAGTCCCCTCTTCCTCTCACCCCCTGGGCTCCCTATGCTAAGTACTGTTCCAAAAGCTGGCTGGGGCTCTGACCCACCTGTCACTGGCTGTAGCTGGACCAGGGCACAGCCAGAGCCTGTGGCCATCACACGGAAGTGGCTAAGGGTCCTCTTGACACCTTCCACGATGTTCTTTCGGGATGGGGACTTCACGGGAACTACCTGTGGTGCCAGCCAAGCATGAACAAGTTTTGATCCACACCTGGGAGCTATACCTAGACCTCCCTGCTCCCAACGGACACAGCACAGGCAGCAGTGACTCATCTATGACAGGATAAGACAGCCAACCCCCTCTTCCCTATCCTACAGTCCACTACATAGTAATACATCTAAAGGGACACCTCTTCCCCGACTCACGAGACTGACACCATCAATGTGTTCCAGTGCCAAAGCCACATGGATCTTTCCCTCAGGAGGAGCTGGGATGCCATCAGTGACAGCACTGAGAGAGAGCAGGAGGAGGTCACAGGATGACCTGCTGCCCCCTCCACACCACCCTCAGCCTCCCCTCATCTCTCACCAGTAGGTTGCTGTGGGTCTCTGTGCTCTCCTTGAGTGGTTAAAGAACTTCTGGAGGCGGCTTGTGGTCTGGGGACAACTGGAGAGCAGAACAAGCCCAGAGGTCTCCCTGGAGGAAGGGGACAAATCACAAGTTAGTCCCTTGGGCTTGCTCACGGGACCCCTAGAGAAGAAACACTGTCTCATTTAGGGCAAAGCAGTAACACCAGGACAATAACCCAAACTTCCTGAGAAACAAGGCTTCCCCTTGTTGGAAGTCTACATAGCTTAATGTGTTTCTCATTTTGCCCTAGTTACCAGGGAGCTCAAAGCCAAATATCATAGCAATGACCACCAACTGCTCAGTGTGTACCACATGCCAGGAACTCAACTAGGAATTTTACATATGGTAGCTGTTAAATAATTCCCCCTCCGCATCACTTACTTCCCAGGTGCTCGGACAAGCTGGAGCTCCTGCTCCCTGAGCCCCAGGGACTGGCTCAGTTCTGGCAGCACTGACAGCAATGTCAGCTCTCCTGGTTTTCCTGGATAAGGAAAAGGTCAGATCTCCCAGAGGCCAAGCTTCAACCCCTTCCACTGTTTCCTCCCTCAGAGATGTCAAACCCTTTTTTACTACATTACCTTTCCTGACCCCCATCCATACCTGTCACTGGCAGCCCCTGTGGCTTGTTCAGTGTCACTAGGGGTCCTGAAACACACGTGAACATCAGCAAAACCTCTATGCAGCACGTAAGAGTTTCGAAAGCACTTACTGTTCATTTAGCTTTGTGACCAACCCCATGACTCTGAGGAACTACCAACCCCTCTCCAAACTGAATTTTCTGTTCCTCAAATAAGCCCAGCTCTCTGCCACCTCAGGGCCCTTGCACTTGCTGTTTCTCGTGTTCGGGGTGGTATGGCAATATCTCATCCTGGTTCAAATGTCACACTACAGAAAGTTCTGAATCCCCAGTACAATGTATGCCCACTTTCTACAATCCCTTGCCATCACAACACCCTGTCTCAGTTTATTCACAGCAATGATCACTAGTAACTCACTTATTTTTCCGATTAATTGGTTTCTCCCACTAGAATGTTGGCTCCCTGAGGGCAGGAACCATGTTTACCTCTTTCAGCACTACGTAGCCTGCCTAAAACAGTGGCTGAAACACAGCATGTTTAATAAATAGTTGAGAAAATGAACACATCGTTAAGTGAACACTGAGGTTTGGGGAAATTATTGTCCTACAGCCACACAGCAAGCTGCTTACAAAGCCTGGATTTGACTCCAAAGCTTGTGTTTGACAATAAACGATAACTTAGCATTGCAAGAACTCCCCGGCCTGCGCCTGCGGTGGGCAAGGCTGTCCAGTGATTTGCGCCCTGTCCCCTCCTCCTCACCCCATCCCCTTGCTGCTGTGGCTCACCCCACCACGTGACCCTGAGAGCGGGACGAAGATTTGCCTCCAAGGACCCAGCAAGCTCCCCTCCCGCCCCTCACCTTTCTGGTCCACCACGGCCGCCCTCAGCACAGCAGCTAGCTCCTCCCGGCTGAGGCTGTCTGTACGCAGCAGCCCCGGGACGGGCCGATCGCCTAGGGGCCCCAACGGTTTGCCTGGAGCCTCGAGGTGACAGCTGCCGCCTGGAGCAGGTGGGAGAAGCAATAGGGCAGCCATTGGTTCCCCGCAGTCCCGCCTATCCCCAGCTCCTCCCGGCTCTGCCCAATCCCGCTGCCTCTATAAAAGGACTCAGAACGCCCGGGCTGTCCCGTCTGAAACTTGACTGTCCCCTGTTAACCGCTTACGGCGGTCACACAGCAGCGCCGGTATTAGAACCTACGAGTACCGAGTCGGGATCCCGTACACGCCCTCCCCGAGTCCTAGCCTGCCTCCTACAGTACGGTGGGCGGGGGGAGGGAACATAATCACCGGGCCTTGGTGCCAAAGCCTGCGTCCCCGGGCGGTGGGTGGGTCCCCAACCCCCGCCGCGAGCCACCGAAGACCCGGCCCCACGCGCGGAAGACTCCCATCATAAGTACAAGCACCGTGCGCGTGTGTCCACAGCCGCGCTATCCGCTGCGCGCTGATTGGCCAGGTCGACTGTCAATCAGAATATCGAGCAGGCGGGGCAGAGGCCCGTGGGAGGTGGAGCTTAGCCTCCGTCCCGGAAGGAAATGCACAAATTTGAGCTCGTGGGTTTGAGGAAATGGAGGCGCCGACGTAGAGGTTTTTACTCCCGGATACAGGACCCGTCTTAGGAAGAATGGGACAAAAACTCCAGGCTTTCGGAATACCATTCTAATTCTTAAGAGCCTTCTGACTGCCAGGCGTGGTGGCTCAGCCTGTAATCCTAGCTATTTAGGAGGCTGAGGTTGGGAGGAGTGCGATTCAGGCCAGCCCGGGCCAATAGTTCCTGAGACCCCATTTCAGCAATAGCTGGGTGGAGGGGCGGGCACCTGTCATTCCATACTAAACCGAGGCTGCGATCGCGAGGAACGCGGTTCAGGCCGGTTCGAGAGACCTCACCCCAACCGAGAGCTAGGTGCGGTGATATGCGCCTGTCATCCCCAAGCAAAGAGGAGGCTGAGAACTGAGGGTGGCAGTTCCAGGCCAGGCTGGGCGAAAAAGTTAGCGAGACCCCATCTCATTGGAAAAAAAGCTGGGCATGGTGGAGTGCACCTGCCATTCCAGCAAACCGGCCTGGGCGAAAAGCGAGATCTCCAAGATAATCACAGCAGAAAGAGCTTAAGTGTTAGAGAGCCTGCCTAGCAAGCGCGAAGGCTTGAGTTTAAACCCCAGTACCCCTCCCCCAAAAAAAGAGCCTTCTGACTTAAAGCCACCAGAGTGTGCAATTTTGTAAGGCAAATAGGACGGAAAAAGTAAAAATTCCACATCCTTTGGTTCAGTAAATCTGCTTTGAAAAAACAACCTAGTGCCTAATCCAAAAAGAGAAAAAAGCCAGAAGCAGAAAGAGGTTCATTAGTTTTTTTGTTTGGTTGGTTTTGGTTTTTTTGCCAATACGAAAACAAATCTCAAAACTGGGAAACACATCTTGTGAGATCTATCATCTGTCATCACTCGTTGAGCATTTTTTAAAATGCTAACTATGCCACACCCTGGCATCTGTGCTAGAAATACAGATCCACAAGACTCAGGCACCACCCGCCAGAAGTTCGTGGAAATGACAGTGTCACACATCATAATCCATCTGGTGAAATGCCATGGAGGAACAAATGTGCAATCAGGGAAAGCTTCCCTATGGCCATTGTGTGCCATGGTGCTGAAGAACTAACAGAAATTCACCAGAAGAAGGTGTGTGTTTGGGGGAGGCAAAGGGAGAAAGCAACAAGAACAGAGATGCTATGTAAAGAACAGCAGAGAGCAAAATAAAGATTACAGGCAAACTCTTGTTTTATTTATTTACTAAGAGCACTATAATTTTTTTAGGGTGGTAGGGTGTACTGAGGCTTGAAACCAGGGCCTTGTCCATTCTAGGCAATCACTTTACCACTTGACCTATGCCCCCTGTAACTTTGTCAGGACTGGCTTGGAATTGGTGATCCTCCTGCCTCCATCTCCCAAGTAGATTACAATAACTTTCAGTTCATTGTTCGCATTAGCAAAAGACTATAAACAAAACTATATCCCTCACTGGCCGTGGTGGTGCATGCCTACAATCCCAGGACTTGGGAGACTAAGGCAGGAGGACCTTGAATTCAAGGCCAACCTGGGCTACATAGTGAGCCCCTATCTCCAAAGATCAAAATAAAACAAAACAAAAAAAACCCTGTATCTTTCAACAGCTGAGTAGATAAATCAATTGTCCCACACAACATGGAGTCATTAAAGAATGTGTAGATTTCAGTGAACTCCAGGATGTTAAAAAAGCAAAGCAAAGGACAGTATGAATAGATTGTACATGTGTGTATGATGTATATTTATTTGTTCATTATATACTTCTGCATTTCTGAAAGGACACAAATGAGATGGCGGTTGCTTCTGGTGAAGGAATTGAGGGGGTGCAATGCTCCCTTTCACTTCCTTCTCTTACGGTTAGCTAGGTGCTGCCTCCTCCAGGCTCCCACTGCACTTGGCCAACAGCTGTGTATCACCTCTGCTGTGGTTCCCCAAAGTTCAGGTGGAAAACTTAATCCTCAAATTCATGTTAATGGTATTTGGAGGCCGTTGGAAGTAATTAGGACTAAATGAGGTCATGCAAGTGGGTATTAGCAGCAGTCTTGATGGCAGTAGCAGCTTTAGAGGAAGGGGAAGAAAGAGATCCTCTTCCTCTGTCCTGTGATGCCGTCCTATCTTGTGCTGCAGCACGCAGGCCCTTGGATATTGTGAGCAGCCCCCAGAACCACAACCCAAACAAGCTATTTTTAAAAATAAATTAGCAAGCTTCAGGTGTTGTTTGTTTGTTTGCTTGTTGCTGTGCTGAGAATGGAATCCAGAGCCTCAGGGATCTAGGCCAAGTACTCTAATAGGCATGACAGCCCATTGCCAGGTATTTTATTATAGCAACAAAAAACAGACTGGAGGGGGTGGGGTGGGCATGCTGGCACACCGGCTCAAGTGGTAGAGCACTTGCATAACAAGCATGAGGTATGAGGCCCTGAGTTCAAACTCCAGTACAACCAAAAAACAAAAACAAAAGCAAAACCAAACCAAACTAAGAGCCAGGGGCTGCTGGCTCACACCTGTAATCCTAGCCACTCAGAAGGCGGAGATCATGAGGATCACAGTTCCAAGCCAGCCCTGGACAAATAGTTCTTGAGATCCTATATCGAAAATACCCATCACAGAAAAGGGCTGGTGGAGTGGTTCAGGCAGTAAGAGCACCTGCTTAGCAAGCGTGAGGCCCTGAGTTCAAATCCCACTGCTGCCAAATAATAATAATAATGTCACAAATGTAGCCCAGGCTGGGGAGAATTTTGGCAAAATGCATGTAATTTTCTTATTTAGGGCTCCACCTTAAGTGTGTGACTGTGTTTTGTTACAGGCCCCTCAGTATTTTAGAATCCTTCTGCAAGGCCTCCTGTGCATCCCAGGACCAACTTGAGCAAGGACTAAGGGAAGACTTGGCCAGCAGGCTGGTTTGCCATCCACCTTAGCTACAGCAGACCTTTCCACTAGTAGTTCCTGTCCCCAGGACAGGCCATTTCCCCACTTGGCCTGACCTCTGGACCTCCTGAAGCTCCTGCTCCTTTATCTTTGGAGTTTTCCCTCCCCGCATCATGGCAGGCTGTTCCCATCCCACAGCTGCTTTCAGTCCACCAAATTTTCCCTGGACTGAGTCTGTAGACTCACTGGAATAAATACTAGCGTACACTACTCCCTCCAGTTCACTTATAACTTTACAGGAGAAGCAGGGACGCCACGGCTTCAGCAAGGCTAGAAGAGGAATAATGCAAACATTGTACCTCTGGGCTAGAAGGCCAACCCCATGGAGCCAGACTTGCACAGAGCCAGCCTCCAGCCATAACTGCAAGTGCAGAACAGCCCAGAATAGAAAGTGCTCTTCAGCTGCTCTTGGCTACTCTTGCCACATGGCTACAGGCATGGGGCAGCTGCCAGAAACAGCTTCCCAGACTAGCTTGGGTAACCCAGCCCTTTGTCTTAGTCTCTACTAAATCCAAATAGGCTTTATCAGAAGGGTTATGAAATGGGATGTTTTGAAACTGAGAGTCACAGACCAAAGTACTATCGCCTACAAGCCTAGCCTCTGTGTGACTTGGCTGTTATTAAAAAATGCTAGCCAACTTACACTGATGAGACACTAGTCCTCTTTGGAGCTCACTTTGTTTTCTGTTTGTTTGTTTGTTTGCTTGTTTTGACATCGCCTCCTACATGCTAGGCTAGCACTCTACCACTGCTAGTGGCTCACTTTGCAGTCATGAGGTTGGAAGTTCTGAGCATGGAAGGGAAGGTACCTGGCAAGCTAAGGTAGGCATTGGTGGAGAATTAATTGCCTTGTAGCTTGACTAGTGTTTCTCACCTAAACACTTTGAAGGTTATTATAAAATGTGACACCAAGGAGTTAGAAGAGTGAATTAATCCACCCAGATGGACAAATTTCATTTAAAAATTGACATTTGTGTTGATTACATGGTCTACTCAAATCTCGAATTCAGCAGACTTCCAAAATCAACTGTAACATTTTTTGATAGAAAAATCGCTGTTTCCTGTAATACTGCATCATGGAGAATGACTTAGCAACAGAGTCTTCTCTTCCCTTATCCCTTCCCAACCCTCCAGTCCCATCCCTGAAGAGCAGAGGCAAAGATGTGACTGCATAAATAATTTATTGCAAACTTTCTAATAGCATACATTAGTAGGCTAAAAAATTCACTCAAGAGTATTCTGGGATGGAGGGCAAGAAGGAGGGAGAGGTATGAAAGTACAGCAAGTGAACACAGATTACATTACGGAGAGGTGGACTTAATGCCATAGTTTGCCAGTGGCCAGTCTGGGCCAGCTAAGCTGCCTAGGGCAGGAAGGAGGTTGCTGGGTCAGGCTAGGAAATGCAAGTTCTCCTCTGACTGCCCACCCCTACTTCAAGTCCTTCCTTCTGATTCCTCATTCATGATCCTATGCAGTGAGGAGGCATGGGGAGATAAAAAGCTCTCTAATTGCCAGGCGTGTGGGTGCTACCAACTAAGCAAGGGGTCCCCCATTTAGTCCTTGGCTGGAGAAGGCCTCCAAAGACTTGGGCCTTCATTGCAGTATCTTCAGACAGGCTGGGATGAGGGATGGGGCCTTGGCCTTGGAGGGCTGACCTTCTTCTGTGGCATCCAGAAACTGCTGCATGTAACTGGAGGTGCCAAGCAGCATATGGCCTGTGAGCTGCATGCTGAAGAGGGCCCAGCGGAGCACTTCCCTGGGAGAATGACAAGGCACTCAGGTCAGAAACATGCAATAGCCTCCTCCCCTACATTCCTATGCTGGCTTGGAGGAGTTGCTTTCAAATTAGCTTTCTTCATTAATATAATTTGAATACCACTGAGGTGGGATGACTACAATATTCCACAGCAATGCACAGACAGGAATGGGGCTGTTTTCCTTCAGCCAACGGGACCAGGTCAGGCAACACTTGCAATCCTACCTTGACTGAGATTCCCCGAACCTCCTTAAGTGTCTCATGCAAAACTCAATAATAAGGCCTTTTATTTTCTTTGTGTTATGCTAAGCAGGTGTTCTACCACTGAGCTCATAACCGGTCCTATACTTCTGAACCAACCAGATTAAATTCATAACATGGTTTTACCCTTTATGCACTCTGTTCCAGACTCTGAAGTCTTTCCAGGTCACTTGTCATTTTCTTTTCCTTTTCTTTTTTTCTTTTTTTTTTTTTTTTGTGATTCTGGGGCTTGAACTCAGGGCCTATACCTTGAGCCACTCCACAAGTCCATTTTTGTGATTTTTTTTTTTTTGAGGTTGGGTCTTGAGAACTATTCACCCAGGCTGGCTTTGAACCACTATCCTTCTGATCTTCTGATCTCTGCCTCCTGAGGAGCTAGGATTACAGGTATGAGCCACCAGCACCCAGCTCTTGTGGTCATTTTCAGAGTGCTAAACGTGACACTCCCTCAAGCCTGCTGTTACCATGTACTGAGGACACAACTTGAACCGGATAGACCTGAGTTCTAATCCAGTCTAGCACTTTTAAAAAATATTTTAATTCTATACTTACTGTATTTTTTCTTTATCTAAATTGTTCTAGTTCTGAGCTGCAGCTTCCTCACATGTAAAATGGGTTATGACATTGAAATAACATAAAGCCATTAGTATGGTTTCTGATGTATAGGAAGTAGGGGAAATGCAGTGACAAGAAAAGCTGGAATGCTAGACAACTTTACCTAAATTTTCCTAGCATATATGAGGCCTTGGTTTCCATCCCCAGCACCACAAAAAATAAAGTGTGTGTGAAGAGAGAGAGTGTGTGTGTGTGTGTGTGTGTGTGTGTGTTTAAATGCTTTATTGAGAAGCAGTTTCTCAAATTAGAGAACCAAGACTTTAAACCTAGACAATTGCCTTAAAAAGGAGTGAAATTCTGACATATTCTACAACATGGGTGAACCTCAAAAACATTACGGTAAGTGGAAAAAGCTAGCTATGAGTGAACTAGTATTGTATGAGTTACCTAGGATAGACAAACTGAAAGACAGAAAGTAGAATAAAGGTTACCAGGGTCTAGTGGGAGGTACAGTCTCTGTTAGGGATGATGAAAAGGTTCTGGAAGTGAACAGTGACGGAGGTTGTGCAACACTGAAAGCACACTTAATGCCACTGAATTGGACACATAAATGGTACATTTTGTGGTACATTTATTTTACCACAATTTTTTAAAAATCATAGTGACACTGGTAAGCCACTAAGCTGGCTCCAGTTTGCCATTGCTTTTTTCTTGTGGGGGGAGAGGGGGAACTGGGGTTTGAACTCAGGGCTTCACGCTTACAAAGCAAGTGCTCTGCCACTTGAGCCACACCTCCAGTCCATTTTGCTTTCCTTACTTTTTGGAGATGGGGTCTTGTGAACTATTTGCCCAGGCTGGCCTCAAACTGTGATCCTTTCAATCTCATCCTCCCAAGTAGCTAGGATTATAGACGTGAGCCATCTGTGCCCAACTGGCATTGCTTTTTGATACCGAGGTATCTACTGTGTTTTGGTTTGAGAGTCCCACTTCCCCTAAACAGACTGAGTTTTAAGACTGAAACTTCATGTTCTAGATTTTTAAATCTGCCAAATTCTGGCAGCAAGCCCAGACCAACAGGGCAGGATGTGCCATAGAACCAGCTCCACCGTCCTTTGGCTGCTGTCACTGGCAAACAGCCACGGAGCCTCAGTTCTCTCATCTGAAGCTGGGTATGCAGAGGATAATCTGAGAGAGACAAGAAGACTGATACCTCTATATATGTTCTGGCAGAGCTCTTAGGACCCTTAACAGGATTTCTCAGAAGTCCCCTGAGAACCAGGATGATAAAATCTCCATTCATTCTACTGTGTGTATGTGTGTGTGTGTGTGTGTGTGTGTGTGTGTGTGTGTGGCTGGGACTGAGCCCAGGGCCTCCTGCATGCTAGGTAAGCAGTCTACCTCTGAGTCACACCCTGGCCCTCTACAGTTATTTAAATAATTACTACATGCCAGCAGTCACCAGATTTCAGGGGCAATAGAGACTCTTGCCCTCTTAGAACTTGTTCTAGAACCTTGTTCATCTCTGTCTTTTAAGTTTGCAGCACAGGTCAGGGCACATAGCAGGCACTCAGTAAACACCACATGAAGCCATTAGGGAGGGACAGAATCTGTCAGAAGAAACTCACTAGTCTGTGTTCTGCTTCTCCCTAGTTTGGTGGCTGTGGACTGACTGTATGGCTTCAGTCTCAGAGACTGTATCCATCTAATGGGCAGGAGTGCTCCAGAACAACACTGGAGCAGTTACATTTGGGGAATACCAACCATAACAGCACTTGTCCTATGACTTTCCTGTGATACTTGGTTAGACCTTCAAAGCAAAGGCTTATAAGACAATGGACTCTTGTCCATAAGACATTCAAGTTCACTCTGTCCTATGGCAGGACAATAGTTTTATCCCTTCTACCACCATGGAAAAAGCGAATTTGTGTCTACAAATTTAATTCATCATTATTACTGGACCTATAAATGTGTGGGACTTTGAATTGTCATTTGAATTAGTTGCAACTTCTTGCTAGTTCTGTCAGTGATTACTGAGTTAATTAAAATCTTTGACCCATGTTTATTTTTAAAAAGTTGGTTAGCAGGGCTGGCAGAATGGCTCAAGTGGTAGAGCACCTACCTAGCAAGCATGACTTCGAACCCTAGTACTGCCAAAAAAAAAAAAGTTATTAGGAGACTATTTTGGAAATTTTACTTCTTTTAGATGAAAAAGTGTACTTTGCCATAACAGAATATAATCATAGAAGCTGTGCCTAGGCCCCAGCAGCAGTAAGTGTGCCCCTTTGGCACACCCTAGGGTTACCCAAAGCACTCAGGTAAACCACAAAGCTCTGTACAAATGCTGACTATTGAGTTTCGTTAGCATAGTGCCAGACCCAGGCCCTGAGAGGGCTGGGCCCCAAGTAGACAGACAGACGCCCTGTCTTTGCATCATAGGCACCCCATCTCCAGCTCATCCCAATCTACTCACTTCACAATGTGCTTGGCCCGGTAGCAGTGCAGGTCATAGGAAAGTGAGTATGTGTCATAGAGAGTCGCCTTCACATTCAGGCAGCCAATGAAGTCCTGTGGGTTCAGCTTGTACAGGTGAAAGGTTACACGGGCCACATCAATCTTCTTGTCAGGCTTGTGAGAGAGGAAGAGTTGGTACCTATTCCCCTGCCACAAGACAAGCATGTGGTTAGTACCCCTCAAGGACTTTTCCTGAGCTCTGAATTTTCTACCCTGCACAGGTAGGACCTTACCTGTTCTGATGGAGGCTGCCATTTCTGCCCCTTTTGGAGGACCATGAACACTGTATCCCCTGCCAGGGCTTGGAAATACTCTTCTGTCTCTACAATTGTGCCATCTTCCTCCAGCACCAGGGAGAAGGGCTTGTCTTTCAGCATCAAGATGTCCTGGACCTGGGGAATAAGATTAGTGATGCTTCTGCTGTCCCCATGGGGCCACAGTGGTGGTACGGGGAAGACCCACCTCACATCACTTCAGCAGCCAGGGAAAGAACAATCAGGCTGGGACACGTGGGATGGCACTGGCACCCAGGCTCTCTATTGTGAGATTCCTACCCAAAGACTCTATACACCTTGGTATCTCTTAACAGTCTAGAACTGTGAATAGTCCAGTAAAATATAATAGGAGTCATCTGTGTAGTTTTTTTATTTATTGAGTTACAAATTTCGCTCTTTTAAAATGCACAATTCACTGGGGAGTGGCTCAAGTGGTAGAGTGCCTACCTAGCAAGCCTAAGGCCCTGCGTTCAAACCCCAGTACCACCCAAGTAAGTAAGTAAGTAAGTAAGTAAATAAATAAAATGTACAATTCATTGTTTTTCAATATATTCAAAAAGTTGTGCAATCATTACCACCATCTAATTTCAGGATATTTTCAGCCTCCCCAGAAAGAAACTCAGTACCCATTAGCAGTCAATTCCCATACCTCCCGTACTCCATCCAGTGGCAGCCTCTACTCTACCATCTATTTTTATGGATTTGCCCCTGCTGGGCAAAACACACAGATGTCTAGTTAAAGAATGTCCTATCAGTCAAGTATGAGACAATTTTAGCACCAATAAATAATCTGCTACTCTCATTATAGCCCACTAAAATAGGAATGCCTGAGTCTCTTTTGATATAAATAAATGAGCAAATTAAAAATTCAATACAGAATTAGATGTTTGCTTAATGAAGAGTCCTGCCCTAGAAGGGGAAATAAAAATATTATATTGAGAAGCTTGACTGAACCACCTTATTCAAATAATCAGAGTTAAATATAATAGTACAAATGAAAACTGTATGTAATTTTGCGAGGACAATCTAGTTTTAATCATATTCCTGCCACAGACATACAACCTGAATTGGGAACTGGATAACACCAAACTAAGGGAATCACAATAATGCCTTATAATCTTTAAAATAATCCAGCCCATGACAGGCAAGCAAAGACTGAGGAACTGTTCCAGAATAAAAAAGACAAAAATAAACACTTGATCCTGACCTGGATCTTTTTGCTACAAAGGAAATTATTGGGACAATTGGCAATACTCCAGTGCAGTCTTATGACCAAGTTATAATACTGTAATGTTTCCTGTTTTCTATGGTTGAGTTATGGCTATATAGGAGAATATTCCTGTATTAGAAAATACTCACTGAAGTATCCAACAGTAATAGGCAGCAGATTGGTAACTTACTCTCCGATGTTCTTGCAAGTTTTGTTAGTTGGCAATTGCTTCAATTGTTAGGTTTGTTTTGTTTTTGTTTGCTTGTTTTTCGGCATACTGGGATTTGAATTCAGAGCCTTGCATTTGCTAGGCAGGTGCTCTATCATTTGAGCCATACCACCAGCCCATTAGTTGTTTTTTGTTTTGTTTTGTTTTGTTTTTTAAAATTCTCATTGGATTTCCTTTTACCTTTTAAAATGAAACACAACTGTTCTTTATCGTGGCCAGAAAGGGACAACCATATCACCATATCTCTGGTCCCTGACAGCCATATCACCTTGCGCTCTCTCCTTTACTCTTTGCTTCCTTCTTTTTGCTGCCAAACTTGGAAATGCAGGCATAGGCTGATGTCCCCTGATCTATCAGATCCTCTCTGACCTGTCTACCATCTTAAGATGGATTCTCACTGTTGTTGCTCCTGCATCCCTTGGCAGTAGGTCACTGATTGGGGAATTTCCAAACTCAGTGGTTCTAAGAATCTCCTGAAATACCACTAAAAAGGAAAATTCCTGGGCTTATCCATGACCCAGTCAGTCTCTGGGGGGACATCTGGGAAGCCAGGACAACAAGGTCATTCTTTTTTTTTTCAGTACTGGGGTTTGAACTCAGGGCCTATACCTTGTGCCACTCCACCAGACCTTTTTTGTGTGTGATGGGTTTTTCCAAAATAGGGTCTGGCAAATGAACTATTTGTCCAGGTTGACCTCAATCCATGATCCTCCTGATCTCTACCTCCTGAGTAGCTAGGATTTCGGGTGCAAGCCACTGGCACCTAGTTAACAAGGTCATTCTGATGGAGGAGGGTGTTCCCAGAGTTCAGAGCAAAAAACAATACTGAGTCCAGACCACAGTGTGGGTGAGTCTTTCTGATTCAAGGCATAGCAGTATAGTGTGGTACAGCCAGAGCCTCACAAAAGAAGACAAATGGTCTCCAGGAAGAGGAGACCTCATTCAGAGGAACAGAGAAGGAGACCTAGCCTATGAGTTAGGTCAGCTATGATTTGTATGTGTTAAGCTGATTTTAGCAGTGGGAATCCTAATTAAGCATTTGACCTGTGCCAGGTGCCTGGGCCAGCAGGTGAGAGGCTCCTAGCCCATGATGCTGATATGCTAAATGGCAAGTGAAGCATGTGGTCAAGTGACGTCTATAAAGCAGAGGTATAGGAGGAGCAGAAGGAAAAGTTACCCCCAACAAAGTGAAGAACGGAAAGGGGGAGGGGATGACATGACAGAGCTCTTCTTGCCTTCTGTAGGTACCAGCCTACAGAAGCTGTGTGCCCTCAGTTTCCTCTTGGAAGCCTACCCAATTGATAAATTAAACAAAGCCTTTCAATGACATTCCATCATGGGAGACAGATTTAAGGAGAATAGCAGAACTGGCTGGACAACTGGAAGGAAACTCTAAAATCTTACTCATGGGGTTGGGGATTTAGCTCAGTGGAAGAGCGCTTGCTTGACAAGGGCAAGGCCCCGAGTTCGGTCCCCAACACCGAACTAAATAAAATAACACAAAATCCTACTCGTTTCTCCAACTTCTAGGCACTTCTGCAAGTCTAAGAACTATGAGAAAAAAGAACCTGAGGGTCCTTCTAGCAAGAAAATTATACCCCCAAAATACCAGTGACCTACTGTCAGTGTGTAGATTGACAATGTACTGTCCTCGTCCCGTCCCCAGACAGAGTTTACTCATCCATGGAACAGCTCTCCAGGTAGGTACTACCAATCCATTGATGTTGACAACAGAAAAGAAACCTGTCACCCTTTAAGACCTGTCCTCCTCCCCTGCAGAATCCCAGTTCATGGCCTGGAAGACAGAGGCAGCTGAAAGGGCCAGCTCTTAGCCGAGGCCCCAGGGCTCACACTGTGCTTACCTTATGGAGGAGATCCTCAAGACTGTATGCCATGATGCCCTTCCGCACCTTCCGGTCAGCTGTGCTTACACGGCAGGGCCGGGCCCTGGGGGCCTTCCGACTGGGCTCAGACAGAACCTGCTGGGTCACCACCGCGGTAGTGCTCACTGCCACAGGCCTGGGGGCAGTTTGGAACATCAGGATGAGCTGACTGATGTCACCAGCCCTTGTCCCACCTCTCCAGACTGGTGCCTCCTCCCCTCCCACCCACCAAACCTGCTCTAAATCGCCTTACTCAAAGCCCACCCAGAGTACCACGTCTCAAATTTGGACGGGAATGCAACTCACTTGAGGGGAGGGGAGAAGGGTTGACTTCAATGCAGATTCCAATTCAGTAGATCTGGGTGGAGCCTGAGGGTCTATGTCTAACAAAAGTTCCAAGTGATGTCACTATTGCTGGTTCTGGGACCATGACCAGCAGCAAAGTGATGTGACTCCCCCTCATTCTCCCTGACTACTTTCCTTTCTTGTCTCACCTATAAAGTGGAATGAAGTGGGAGTCAATGTTAGGCATTTTTGGACTCTGGGGTATACAATATAGAGCCAAAGAAGTGGAGAGAACCTGGATCTTGAATTCAGGCAAGACCAAGTTCAAATGTCTGTTACAGACTTACTAGGTGAGTGAGGATCCCCTCTGTGCTTCAGTTTTCTCATCTAGCAATTTGTTATAATAGCACCCACTTCCCAAAGTTGTGAGCTTAAAGGAGATCAGGAATGAAAGTACTCCGCCTATGCCTTTCTGCTCCGTGGGTGGTGATGGTGGCAGTAGGGGAGGGGATGCATTTACATCACCTGGGGACTTGTTGGAATTGTAAAAATCTCAAGTCCCACTCTAGACTTCCTGAATCAGAATCTGTATTTAACAGTATCCCCACATAACGTGTTAGCCAATAAAATCTGAGAAACTCTAACCCATGGCTCATAGATAGCTCCCCTTCTTTTCTGCCCTTGGCTCTCCTCACCTGGACAGGGATTTGGGGTACAGAAGGCTGAGGGACTTCGTGGCATATTCCATCCTTGTCAGCTGGACTGTGCTGGACCTGGAATGGAGGCAAAAGCAACTGGTTAGGGTCAGAAGGGAGGGTGTCCCTCTCTTTAGTTGGTTAGCACAGCACAATCCAACTTCCATCCAGCAAGCCCCCGCCCTGGTATCTCATTCCAACTCACACACACCTCCTCCAACCCTTCTGTCCTCCTCCCACCCCCCTATACCAACTACAGCCAAGCTGGAACCTCCCACCCCTATCCCGTGGCTCAGCCCCACTCAGCAGCTGCTCTCTCACCCTAGCTCCACTCACTCCATGTTTCTCTGGCCCTGGTTCTGGTTACACTGAGCAGGGATCCCAAACCCAGGCTGAAGAGGCCCTGCCTGGTTTTCTACTCTCCCTGGGGGGTAGAGTCCACTTTACGCTGGCAGGAGGTGAGTCACACCACTTCATGTTTCTGGAGACCTGAAGGTCACCTATAGTTCAGACACTGCACAGGCAGTCATCCCATCTGAGCCTGAGCCTGCTTCTCTCCCATGGACCTTTGAGCAGTTGAGTCCCCTTGAGGTTTCCCACTGGCCAGGAGAACTTTCTGTGAGGATGAAGGCATTCTAGGTTTGTGCTCTCCAACTCCATAAGCTGACAGCCACATGTGGCTATTGAGCACTTGCCCGGTGGCTGTTAGGACTAAGGAACTGGATTATTAATTTTAAAATTTAAAATTTAAAAATTTTAAATTGTTACATTTAAATAGCCAATGTGGCTTTGGGCTCCTGGCAGCCAGACTGGACATTGCAGGTAGCCCTGGACTCACCTGCCACTGTTTTTTCTCCTAAATCTCCATGCTCCAATTCTTGCTGCTCCCAGCATTTGCACAGGATCCCTCCACCCCCACCCGCAGTGCCCATTTGCACAGGATCCCTCCACCCGTAGTGCCTTTCTCTGACTCAGAGTTCAAGGTTTGCCATCGTGATGCCCAGTTTCACTGCTTGTGACTCTTTGGAAAGCCTTCTTAGATGATTCACAGAATGACCACTCCGTCCTACTGTTCCTTGCAGAAGGGCCTCACAGTCTGCTTCTGCTCTAGCCCCCCAACCCTGGTGTGCCTGGCCTGAACTCTTGGCCCTATTCTCAGCCCTCAGTACAAGGAGGGCTGGGCTCAGAGGAAGGAGCACAAGAAGTTGGTATGGAACAAAAACCCCCTCTCCAGTCAGGTAAAATCACTCCTCTCAGCTCAGGGTTCTCTCTGGGCAGCCCCCACAGAGGTACAAGGCGCTCTTTCCCACTTAGTACCACCTAAGCCCCACCACGTCTGCTGTCTAGGAGCAAAAATACCCAAATTCCTCACCTTCCCCTCACAGCCTCTTAGCCTCCTTCCAATAGTGCAGGGCCCAGCACAGCCCAGGCCTCCCTCTAGTTTATTTCCAGCTCCAATGACGCCCCTCCCCTGGCCTTCAGCCCCAGCTGGGGAAAAGAGCATAGGGAATGAGGCTGAAGCTCTCCCGTGGGCATTGCAAGCCAGCCTGACTTCCAGAAACGCCTGAAAGGAGGGAAGAAGGCATATTTTGAAAGCTTTGGAAAGGGGTACGGTTACGAGGCAAGAGAGCACAGAGGGCAGCAGGCATGGGTTGTGGTCCCAGCTCTACCCAACATTGACTGTTTGAGCTGAGCCTTACTTCTGTGAGCCTTACTATTTTTCTCATCTGTATAATCAGGATCTATATGATTTTATACAGTTGTAGTAAGACTTAGTGATACTAGTATGCTAATTCAAAAGTAAAATAAAATGAATTAGTGCAATTTAGGCACTCAGTAGACAGGAGTGATTATTGGTATTATTGATAATGCATTTAATAAATAATAGCAAAGAGAGGGAAACATAAATCTTTTCTGGGAGGTACCAGTGGGAGGTGGGTGGGCACAAGGAAAGGGGGAAAGAGTGTATATGTGAATGTATTTTGTATCCATATATGAAAATAAAAGGATAAAACCTGTTGAAATTGTTCTAAGAATGGGGGAGAGAGGGCAAAAGGGAATATGATGGAGTGGGTAAATCCAACTAAGATATATTTTAAACACATAAGTAAATATCACAATGTATCCCCCTGTACAACTATTGTATACTAACAAAATCATTAAAAAATAATGAAAAACAAAACAAACAAAAATAACAGCAAAGATTAAGACACACACACACACACACACACACACACACACACACACACATACCCATATATATACAGCCTTAAGATAAATGAAAACTTAAGTTTAAGTCCATGTATGCACACTAAAACTGGTACACAAATGTTCACAGCATTATTCGCGATCGCCAGAAGGTAGAAAAAACACAAATGCTCATCCACTGATGACTGGATTTTAAAATGCAACATATCTATAAATAGGGTATTTATTTGTCAATAAAAAGACTATGTGACACTACTATATGAATGAACCTTGAAAACATTACGAAAAGTGTAAGAAACCAGTCACAAAAGACCACATATTGTATGATTCCATTTGTATGAAATGTCCAGAACAAACTGTCTGTAAAATCAGAAAATAGGTTAGTGGTTGATTAGGGCTGAGAGGGGAAGGTGAGGAGAGAATGGGAGAGGCTGCTATTAGCTACAGTTTTTTTTTTCTTTGTCATGCAGATGGAGCCTTGTGAATGCTAGGCAAGGGCTCTACCACTGAGCTGTATCCTTAAACCTCATTTTTTTTTTTTTTTAGTTAGGATCTAATTATGTCACTAGGCTGGCCTTGAATTTGCTATTTAGCCCAGGGTGGTCCCAAACTTGTGATCCTCTTGCCTCCACCTCCTAAATGCTGGGATTACAGGCGTGCACCCCTACATGTTACAATCTATTTTGGTAATGGTTGCACAATCCTGTAAATGTATAAAAAAATCATGAAATTCTACATTTGGGTAAGTTGTATGGTATATGAATTATGCCTTAATAATGTGTTTTAAAAAAGAGTTTAGGGGCTGGGGATGTAGCTCAGTAGTAGAGCACTCACTTGGCATGCTCAAGGCCCTGGGTTCAATCCTCAACACTGCAAAAACAAAATAAAACAAAACAAAATGTTTAAAAAGAGTTTAAGCAGCTGGAGGTGTGGCTCAAGTGATAAGAGTGCCTGCCTAGCAAACATGAGCCCCTTAAATTCAAATTCCAGTACCACCACACACACACAAAAAAAAGATTTTAAATATCTTTTTCTTTTTTTTTTTAACACAGGGTTTCACTCCAGTGCATCAGAAACAGCTGAGGGTTTGTTGAGATTCGGATTGCCAAGCCATACCCTGCAGTTTCTGACTCAGAATATCTAGAATGGAATCTAAGAATTTTCGTTTTTCTGTCTCCCCTTCTTCCTCCTCCTCTCTGCCTCTCTCTCTCTTTCTCTCTCTTTTGTGGTGCTGAGACTCAAACCCAGGGCCTCCATTACATGCTCTCCCACTGAGCTGCACCCACATCCTGGCATTTACATTTCTAGCAGATCCCCAGGTGAGGGTAAAGCTGTGGCTGCACAAGGACCCGCTTTGAGAACCACGGGTTTAGCACTAGCTATGTGATCTGCTGTCTAAGTTTCAGTTTGATCTGACAAATGAGAATAAAATTAACTCCTGTTCCATTAGGTTTCCATGAAAATTGAGAGATCATAACTCATTTCAGAGCCTTTTTGTCATCAGAGCTGAATAAATAGCAGGTAATGTTAGTGGACTCCTAGGCCAGAGGCCTGATCTGGGAGTCCCAACAGACCAGATTCTGCCATCTGCCACTTCAAGAGTTCAGAGTGACACATGGTGGTGAAGCAGGAAAGGAATTTAACCAGTGGGCCATACCAGGAAGAATGGGGACCAGTGTGCTAAACCCTGTCTTTTGGGTACCAATGATAGCTCCAACATCATATAGAGCAAGAACAACAGTAGGGGGAAGAAGTACGCACAGCAAAGCAGTCTTGGTCCAACTGGTCTGGTTGATCATTATCTCAAGTCTGGTTCTGTGGGAAACTGGAGCCAGGAGAGAGGAACAGGAAGCAGAGAGCAAGAGGATCATGGTTCAAGACCAGCCTGGGCAAATAATTCATGAGACCCTACCTTGAAAATATTCAACTCAAAAAAGAACTGGTGGAATGGCTCAAGGTGTAGGCCCTGAGTTCAAACCCCAGTACTGCAAAAAATAAATAAAAAAGAAAATATATATTCCAAGTACCATCATAGACAAGAAGTTAATCCATTTTCTCTCTCCCTCCTTCCCTCCTCCCCCTATATTTATATAAATTAAGAAGACCAACAGCACAACAAAAATATGGAGAAAATATATACACTTCAGAGAAAAGAAATACAAATGGTCCTTTGACATATGAAAATATGTTTGATCTCACAGAAATGTAGATGCAGCTTTAAACTACACTAACTGCCATTTTTCAGCTTGCTAGGCTGATGCTCTAACACATAACCCACTCCGTCAGCCCTAGACCTATTTATTGAAAATGCAAAACTGGGGCTGATGGCTTGGGTCAAGTGGCAGAGCACCTGCTTAACAATCACAAGGCCCTGAGTTCAAATCCAAATACTGAAAAAAAAAAAACTGGCAAAACTATGTCACTCTTGGTATAACCCTGATATAAAGTTTTAAGTCTGCTGCAGCCTTCAAATGCTCCAGTCACTCTGAAGTTTTTCAGTGTTTCTCAGAGTCAGGCCCTCTCTGGGTTTTGAGCCTTCACACCTTCAGTTCTTTCTCCTCATCTCTTTACTCCAGTTAATTCCTGCTCAGACACAGGTCTCCACCTAGATGCTGGCACTCTGGAGAGACTTTCTTAACCTTGAGATTCCTCCTCTTTGCCCGCTTTGGCCTCCTGTGCTTTCACTTCCTAGCACTGACCACCCTAACTCATAGCTTCAGGGGTAGAAGTTCTCCCCCCACCAGACTGTCATGCCTGGTCTGTTTCATTTCTATGTCTCCAGATCTAGCATAGCAACCTAGTGCATAGCTGTTTGTTTGTTTTGTTTTTTCTTTTCTGTTTTTTTTTCAGACAACATAATTTAAAAAATTGTTTGTTTTGTTTTCTTATTGATGCTGAAGATCAAACCCAGGACTTCTCAAGTGCAAGTATTCTATCTCTAGGAGTTATGTCTCAGACCCTATTTATTTATTTATTTTTTGTAGGGACAAGGTTTGAACCCAGGTCTTCACACTTGCAAAGCAGGCACCCTACCACTTGAGCCACTCCTCTATTCTACTTTGCTCTGGTTATGTTGGAGATGGGGTCTTGGGTATTATTTGCCCAGGCTGGCCTTGAGCCTCCATCCTCCTGATCTCAGCCTCTCAAATAGCTAGGATTATAGGCATGAGCCACTGGTACCCAGCTTTTATTTTTATTGCAATAAAATGTACATAACAAAAATTTACCTGTTTAATCACTCAGTATACAGTTCAGTGGTATTAGGCATACCCATATTGCTGTGTAACCAACATAACCATTTATTTCCTGATTTTTCATCATCCCAAACAGAAACTCAGCACTCATCAAACATTTCCTCCCCGTTGCCCACTCCACCCCAGCCCAGAACCTGGCAGTCACCATTCTACTTTTCTCCTCTACAGAAAATGTAACATTTTATTTGGAAATAGTTTCTTTCATGGCCTTGACATTTCAAAAGAGCACACTCCAGCTCTGTGGTAGAGTGTCCCTCAGTATGCTGGGTCCTTAGTGTGTCACCATGTATCAAGGTGGCATTATTGGTCAAGGCAACACGCCACGTTTCCTCACTGTAAAGTTACCATTTTCTCTTTGTGGTTTTTAAGTGATCTCTGGGGAGAAAATTTAGAAACTGTATGAATGATGTGTGCTAGTGGGAAAAATTCCCGGACAAATCTAGGCATCAGTTTCCCCGCCTGTGAAATGAGGACAGCGCGTTCAACACCAATACTGCAACTTTAAAAAGTGCAAGTTCAGCATCATTCTGAGTGAGGTCAGCCTGGCCCAAAAGACCAAAAATCATATGTTCTCCCTCATATGTGGACATTAGATCAAGGGCAAACACAACAAGGGGATTGGACTTTGATCACGTGATAAAAGGGAGAGCACACAAGGGAGGGGTGAGGATAGGTAAGACACCTAAAAAATTAGCTAGCATTTGTTGCCCTTAACGCAGAGAAACTAAAGCAGATACCTTAAAAGCAACTGAGGCCAATAGGAGAAGGGGACCAGGAACTAGAGAAAAGGTGAGATCAAAAAGAATTAACCTAGAAGGTAACACCCACGCACAGGAAATCAATGTGAGTCAATGCCCTGTATAGCTATCCTTATCTCAACCAGCAAAAACATTTGTTCCTATTATTGCTTATACTCTCTCAACAACAAAATTAGAGATAAGGGCAAAATAGTTTCTGCTGGGTATTGAGGGGGTCGGGGGGAAGAAGGAGGGGGCGAGGGGGGATAAGGGAGGGGGTGGAAGAAGGGGGGAGAAATGTCCTAAACATTGTATGCATGCACATATGAATAAAATAAAAATTTTAAAAAATAATAAAAAAATTAAAAGTGCAAGTTCGGGGACCCCCAGTTTCCGGTTTCCTCCGCATTCCCCTTCTCATATCTACAAATAAAATCTTTCCGACCTCTGCAATTAAAAAAAAAAGTGCAGTTCAGGACAAATCTTTGGGCAAACAGCAAAAAGATGCCAAAGCTGAGGACCAGTTTTTTGCACGCTCCAGTCCCTGAGGGCCGGGGGTGGGCCCGAGAGAGCGAGGGCGCATGCGCGGGGAGTAACCATAGAGTTGCTCCAGCCAGGACAGAGAGACCGGAAGTTCTCCTCGTGGCGCCGCGGGGCTGCTGGGTAACTGAGCCCAGGCGCTGGAATAGAGTCCGTAGGTGGTTTGGCTGTCTTGTTGCGGTAGCGGGTTGGCGTGAGGTCTTTGGGGGTTCTGGTTGGGCACAATGGCGTCTCGGGCAGGCCCGCGAGCGGCCGGCACCGATGGCAGCGACTTTCAGCACCGGGAGCGCGTCGCCATGCACTACCAGATGAGGTATGAGTGAGCACCGACGCCTCCCGGGCTTGGGAAGCGACGTCGGCCCAGCCTCCGGCTCTTGCTTCCCAGCCAGTCCCCGTGACGGCCTCGGGCCTGTCCCCGGTCGGGGGAAGTCCCGTCGCCCCCGCGAGGTCCACACCTTGACTCGCCCTGTGCCTTTAGGGGAACCGACCCGCTCGGGCTCTGAGTCACCTCGGTGTTGGCTACGCTGGGTGACCTTGGAAACCTAATTTCTTTTACTTTGTTATGTGTGTTTGATTTTTTTTTTGACACAGGATCTTATTTTGTAGCCCAGGCCGGCCTTGAACTCACGATTCTCCTGCCTCTACCTCCTGAGTGCTGGAATTACAGGCTTACATCACCGGAAATCTCATTTCTAATGAAACCTCTGTTCCCCCATCCTCAGAGGGAGAAAATAAGCCACCTTTTAGGTTTCAATGAAAAGTTGGCACATATTTCATGTAAGAGATGTAGCATAAGGGCCCACAACATAATAGTACATGGCAGCTTTTTTTTCTGACAGTACAGGGGTTTGAACTCCGGCTTCATGCTTGCTATACAGGCGCTCTACCGCTTGAGCCACGCCTCCAGCTCTTTTTGCTCTGGTTATTTTGGAGATGAGGTGGCCCTTTTTGTCCCAACCAGCCTGGACCACAATCCTATTTTATGCTTCCTGCCCTAGCTGGGATGACAGTCACGGGCCACAAGGTCCATCTTTTTCTGTTGAGATGGAGTCTGCAAACAAACCAACATCCCAACCACACCCCCCCTCCAACCGTGATTCTGACAGATGGAGTCCACTCTACCCAGCTTTTGGTTGAGAAGAGGTCTTGTGCTGACCTGGCTTCCAATTGTAGTCCTCCCAATGTCAACCTTCCAAGTAGCTAGGATTACAGGTGTGAGCCACTGGTACCCAGCTCATTCAATAAATTTTTAATGAACTTCTACCTATCCTGCAATTGTGTTAGGCCCTGGGGATATAATAGCATAAACAGATCTGGTCTTTGTTTAAATATTATGTTTTCAATAAAAAAGTATTTAAAAAGAAAAGCAAAATTAGTCCCTGCTTTTATAGAGTTTAAGTCTAGAATTGACTGTTGTTTCTGCTTTTCCACATTCTCTATTATTTAAAAATTTAAAAAAAGATATTTCTTCCTTAAATTCACTGAATTCTCCCAGAATGTTCTTTGCATCTTTCTCTTTGCAGAGTTTTAAAGAATGAACAAGTTCTTTGGGTCCTCATTTATTTTTCAAACTTAAGGCCCTGCATAATGGGGCCTCACAACCCAAGCAAGTGTTTCCATACTCCCAAGTGTTGTCCTTGGGAGTATGGAAAGAATACATTTGGGACCTGAAAGATTTTTTTTAAATTTAAAAAATAATGTACTTCCTTTAGGAAAACCGTAGCTGGAGAAGTATGGGCAGCCAGAACTGATTATCTTGTTGCCAGTAAATAACTAAATAACTTCTCCCTCTAGGCTGTACTTTTTTTTTTTTTTTAATGGTACTGGGGTTTGAACTCAGGGCCTCACACTTTCTAGGCAGGCACTCTACCACTTGAGCTATTCCACCACCCTTTTTTTTGTGATGGGTTTTTTTGAGATAGGGTCTCTGGAACTATTTGCCTGGCTGGCCTCAAACCGTGATCCTCCTGATCTCTGTCTCCTGAGTAGCTAGGATTACAGGCACTTGGCTTTTATAGCCATGTGCCACCACTATTATGTCTTTAAACTGATTGTCCTATCTTTGCAACTTTATGTCCATCTACCACCCCTCCTCATGTATTCTTGCCACATTCAACCACTCGATTTCCTGGAACACAAGTGCTTATGTCTTTGTGCCTGCATGCTCTTGCCTCTGCATAGAATTCCTATCTCCCCCCATCCCTCAGAACCTAACTGAAATACCTGCCTCCTCTAGGTAGCCTTCTCTGATACTCATTCCCATGCAGAATTGATTCCTCCCATGCTCCCATATATCTTGGAACATATTTACTCGAACTTTTTCACTTTGTTTTCTCGTTACTTTTTCCTCCTTTGTTTCTTGTGCATGGCCTCTATCAGAGACTGTATCATTCAAATTTGTCTCCCTGTATCCGGTATAGTTGCTTGGTGTATAGTTGGTGGTCAGAAAAATTTGAATGAAAGGTGCTTCTCCCTTTGCTTTGCCCCACAGTGTGACCCTCAAGTATGAAATCAAGAAGCTGATCTACGTGCATCTGATCGTATGGCTGCTGCTGGTTGCCAAGATGAGTGTTGGACACCTGAGGCTCTTGTCACATGATCAGGTGGCCATGCCATATCAGTGGGAATACCCATATTTGCTGAGCATTGTGCCCTCTCTTTTGGGCCTTCTCTCTTTCCCTCGCAACAACATAAGCTACCTGGTGCTCTCCATGATCAGCATGGGGCTCTTTTCCATTGCTCCTCTTATTTACGGCAGCATGGAGATGTTTCCTGCTGCACAACAACTCTACCGCCATGGCAAGGCCTACCGCTTCATCTTTGGTTTTTCTGCCGTCTCTGTCATGTACCTGGTGTTGGTGCTGGTAGTCCAAGTGCATGCCTGGCAGCTGTACTACAGCAAGAAACTCCTAGACTCTTGGTTCACCAGCACACAGGAGAAGAAACGTAAATGAAGCCTGTTTGATGGACTGCTCTGTGAGGTGAAGCCTGGACCTCCCATTGAGCAGAGTGAGAAGTAGAAGAGCTGGTGGTTTGGGCAGCTGTAATGTTCATACCTAGGGCCAGGCTAAGCCCAGTTTTGGCCTAGAGTTCACCTGTTACTATCTGCTGAAGTGGCAAAAATGCATTTTAATTTATTCCCGGTTGGCTAAAACTGGGTGACCAACAGCTGTGAAACAAATTTCAGCTAGTTGAAGTTAAGGCCATTTGGTGTTTTCCTTTAAGACTGAGCCTTAGCCTTGTCTCCTCTTGGTCATTCCCTCCACTTCCATTCGTCATTCTTCACCACAAAGACTGAAGGAGATTGGAATAAATCAAATTCTTCTTCAATCTATAGGTCACAGGGCAGAAAACATTTGGGAAGCTGCTCCCTCTACAGGCTGTGCTCTCTACTGCAAAACGTTTTAATTAAAAAACCTCAATAAAGTTAAGACTGCCCTGTACACCCTGCGCCTTGTGTTTGGGATTTGGTAGTATGAAAGGTGTGTTGCTTGAGTGGCTGTAAACAGTTGAAGATGAATAGAAGTTCCCTAGTGCTCGCTTCGGCAGCACATATACTAAAAATTGGAACGATACAGAAGATTAGCATGGTCCCTGCTCAAGGATGACACGCAAATTCATGAAGCGTTCCATATTAAAAAAAAAAAAAGTTCCCTGAGAAACTGGCAGTGGCAATAGAGAATCAACTGGGCATGATGAACCTGAGTTCCAACCTACAGTTGCAACCTGGTAGTTGATTGGCAAGAACTACTGTGGGCCAGGCATTTAATCTCTCCACCCATAAATGGTCAATCTTCATCATTGAGTTATGAGCTCTTCTTTTATTTAAATATTTGTGTATATTAGTTGTTCATGTGTCTAAAGCTGTATGATAGTATCCAAAAGAATCTTAAAGTATCTCAGAGTACAGGGAGTGTTTCAGCGTTCTATGACCCTAACAAAGAGCTGGGGAAACCAACTTAATAAGAGAGAAGATTTCTTTGGGATATACTATTGGAGGTTTCAATCTGTGGTTGCTTGGCCTACTGTTTTTGGGCCTGTTGTGAGGCAATAAATCATAGTGGGAGCATGTGGAGAGGAAGCTGCTTACCTCATGGGAGCCAGGAGGTGGAAAAGAAAGGAAAGTGGGGTCCCATTATCACCTCCAAGGGCACACCGCCAGGGACCTAATTTACACTAGGCCTCTAATTTACAGTGACCTAAAGGTTCTGCCACCTCCCAATAGCATAGTCTTTAACACGTGGGCCTTTAGGGTATACTTAAACTGTGGCAGGAAGCTTATAATCTAGAGTAAATATGTCATATATGTGAAACAACCAAAGAACCATAGTATTTAACAGTGTGGAACAAATAAGAATAGAAGTGGGAAAGAGGTCTGTGGTTGTAATAAAGTTCCTTTCACACCTAGAAGTCTGACACAGTATTTATTGCCTAAAGGATATATGTCCCTTTGCACTTGACTTTATTATTGTTGGATAATGGCCAGATCTATAACTGCAAATCTCTGCCCTCTCCAGAATTGTAATCATTCTTTTGTTCTAGAAACTTAATACTTGTACTGTCACTGTTAGGTATTAGCAGTAGTTTAACTGCAGAACCTCTTTCTCTAGATGTCCTATTTACCATCTCAAAGGTAGCTTGTTTTCTGCCTCCTACGTGTTACTGTTCCTGCATCTCTGTGTTCAGTGAGTATGCCAAAAGCACAGTTGTGGATTATCCATTCCGTAAACGTTAAGTCCCCATAACTGCTGTTATTTTTGAAACAACCTAAATGCCTTCATCTCTTTCCAATGTTTCCAAAGTGATCCCAATCCATGAGTGCCTCATTATCTCCCAGTATTCCTACTTGCACACTGTCTAGTGGACTGCACCTCATGGATCCCCATATAGGTCCCATGGTTTCACAGTTTGTTTAAAAGCTCCCCTTTAAAAGACTGGAATTGTAAGTAAATGGTAAAGCATTTGTCCAACATTTGCAACACCCTGGGTTTGATCCCCAGCCCTGAAAAATAAAATGTCTTTTCTATTCTTACATTCTTTTTTTACTTAGCCTTTAAAATGCAAATCATAGGGTTGATGGAGTGGCTCAAGTGGTAAGAATGCCTAGCAAGCTCAAGGCCCTGAAGAAAGAAAGGAAGGAAGGAGGGAGGAACTGAGGAAGGAAGGGAGGAAGGAAGGAAGGAAAAGAAATTGTCAAGCCCTTTTTTAAAATTATCATAATTTTGGAGTCTGCTGGTTCATCAGTTCAAGGAACAAAAGCAATTTCTCTGAATTTTTTATTTTACTGCTTTTATTGACAGAATTGCTAATTTGATGTCTTTTCTATACCCTTTGATCAGTACCTAGCATAGTATTCACTCTGAATTTATTGATTCAGATAACTTGTAGACTAAAGAGAGTGTATATCACAGAAGATGGAACTAAACTGAAGCAGGTAGAATTTGGAGAATAGGGAGAAACATGGAAATCTGTTGGTATTGGAGTTACTATGTGCAAGAATTGTGATGCACACAAGGCCCTGAGTTCAGACCCCAGTACAGCCAAAAAGAAAAAAATGGGATGCAAATTATTAGCTAAAAAGTTAAAAACTTACTTGGCCACCTAAACAGTACTTTTTTTTAAAATATTTTTTAGTGTTTTTTTTTATTCATATGTACATACAATGTTTGGGTCATTTCTCCCCCCTTCTCCCTGCCCCCTCCCTTAACTACCCCACCCCCTTCCTCTCCCCCCTACCTCCTTGCTTCCAGGCAGAAACTATTTTGCCCTAATCTCTAATTTTGTTGAAGAGAGAGTATAAGCAATAATCGAAAGGACCAAGGGTTTTTGCTAGTTGAGATAAGGATAGCTATACAGGGAGTTGACTCGCATTGCTTTCCTGTACATGTGTGTTACCTTCTAAATTAATTATTCTCAAACTAACCTTTTCTCTAGTTCCTGGTCCACTGCTCCTATTGGCCTCTGTCGCTTTAAAGTATCTGCATTAGTTTCTCTGTGTTGAGGGCAACAAATGCTATCTAGTTTTTTGGGTGTCTTACCTATCCTCATACCTCCCTTATGTGCTCTCGCTTTATCATGTGATCAAAGTCC